CAGAATACTAGCATAAAATGGCAGCTAGACAATATTGTGTTTCGTATGTTGAGTGTAGAAAACCGGAGACCCTTTTACTGGAAAAGAGGCATTCCATCTTAGTCCTCACGGGTGACGACGCATCTGCATTTTGATTCTTTATTGAGGATAAATGTAGATTTCTATGGGTCACAGCAAACACTTACCATCAGGTGGACTGTGTGCTCGTTTGTCACCCTATCCTATAAAAAAAAAACTTTAAAAACTCCCTACAAATCATATCAAATAAATATGCATCAGCTCAGGATACTAGAAACGTGTTTTTACCTACATAGTAGTAAATCTTGTACGATGGTACGGAACTCTTCATGCGCGAGTCCGACTCGAACTTCGCCGGTTTTATTTATTGTTTCATAATAACCAAATCTATGCTACGGGGAAGTGTCTTCCTATCTATCCTATTATATCTTATATTAATTAGATTAGAAATGAATACACCAAACAGACAAATATCTAAAAGTTAAAATTAAAAAAAGAAAATTAAAAAGTTAAAAATATTTAGGGAACGAACCACCGAGGCATTATTTTGTGTATTTGTATATATGACATATGACAATAAGTAGCAAAAAACACATCAGTCATAACTAGCGACATCTGGTGGACGAAAGATTTAGCGCTCATTAATTTCATGTTATTTACACTACGCACTGATGCTAAGGTATAAATACTTTTTTTTTATTCTTTTAAATCAACCGTTTTGTTATTATTAGTCGAATGACGATGAATATGTAATCGAATTCATCGCATTTGTATTTAGCAATGTAATTCCCAAAAATAAATACACGTCATCTTTGTAAAAATGTCAAATATCAATTTATGACTGACTTAAAACTTTTTATTACATCTTCTCGATGAAGTCATCATTAGTTAAAAAAATTTAACGCTATAAAAACTTACTACTCTTTAGATAACAAAAATTTGTGTTTATACTTATGTATAAAAAGACAACTTTAAATAGGCTCTCTACACTCACCATAGGAAACACAACAGCGTTAAGCTGTTTTACGCTGGTATTCTGTGAGAGCGTAGTCCTACCACATGAGTAAAGAAACCGACCAAAAATAAATAAATAGACCAAAAATATTTCGATATTTTATACATCAATTAATGTATTAAGTATTTTTGCAATTATTAAATAATTAGATTAAAGTTTTTTAATAAGAATAATTAAGAATTAAGTTATTATAAATTTATATAGGTAAATAATAAAAATATTTTTTCCTTAAAATTTTCACATGCATCAGGTGACAACCCTATCAGAATAGGTATAGATTTTCGACGTTGTTAGGACGCTTCCCCTCTGGTCCTCTTTACTCTGTTGTCCTACCCCGGTCGAGTCGACCAATTCATGCTGCAACCATTACACTGCAGCATGACTTCACAACCGATCTGAGTTGTTGTACCGCCATCTATCGGAATCCACGAGAACTTTGTGACATGTCCCATAGTCGCCTATTACAAGATCTATCTTATGTTTGGCAACAGCTTCCATATTACCGAAAGTAACAGAGACATTTGTTTAGATTATGCAGTAAGCTGATTTATGACATAAAAAGTTAACTACGCAGAACGTTGCTTCACTGGGACATTCGCAACGATTGGAACCTAGTTGTTAACAATCGTTTATGTTTTTAGAATTCAAAGTATCTCAGCATAATATACACTGTTATTGGCAAGTTTAAATACGTACGAAATATTGAGCATTATATTATTATTTTATTTAAAAGTAATTGTATAGCAATAGCTTTAGCTATAGCTTATAGGTATAGCTTTTTAACAGTGGTAGAGCCACGCGGCAGCTTTTGCTGTCGCACGGATGGGCCGGCTCGAACCGGGGTAGACCACGACTTCACAGAAAACCAGCGTGAAGTAGAGGTTTACCTCTGCGTTTCGCTTGGTGAGTGCAGGTGGCCGGAGGCCCTTTTTACTGGAAATGAGGCATTCCATCTTAGTCCTCACGGGTGACAACGCATCTGCATTTTGATTTGTAACAGAGGATAGATGTAGATGTCTATGGGCCGCAGCAACCACTTACCTTCAGGTGGACTCTGTGCTCGTTTGTCACCCTTATCCTATAAAAAAAAATATCTACAAGAGGCTACAAAAACCTGTAGTACCGTTAAGTGCGTTATTAGTATCAGTATTCAAACTTATAGAAATAACTTCACTTACGACCATAAAGTATGAAATAAAATTTAAATAAATTTTTATTTGCAAATTGTATGTGGTTTTAAGCCATGTCGGTGGCCCGTGTTGGTTTATGGTTTAACCTCTAACTGACTTTAACATCGGTAAAGCGGAGTTATTGACAAACAATACTCTCTTAGGCCCGTATTAATAAACGTTACTCAGCTTAAGTACACGCACTTGAGTACAATATTGAGGTTATGATCTTATTAATAAACATATCTCAAAATGCGGTTTAGGTTTACGATATTAGCTGAGTGCCACACTGATTAATAAACGAAACTCGACTCTCAAGTGTGTGTACTTGACTGCATGTCATAAAACAATATTCCTAAGTACAGCGTTTTGAGATACTGTTTTCATGTGCTTATTAATTAGCAACGATCTTGAGATGCTGATATCGTAATGAGGGCGTATCAAATAATTACGCACTTGAGTTCGTCGTTGAGTAACGTTTATTAATACGGGCCTTACTCAATAAGTAATAAAATCTTTTAAATCACATACAAATTGCAAATAATAATGTATTTAAATGAAATTAAATACGTTTGAATACTGATTATGGTAACGCACTTGACGGTAACCACAGGGTTTTTGTTATATGTTGTATAATGTTTGATGATATTGTGGGAGGGGGGGGGGGGGATTTGCCATAGTAGCTGCGCATGGCAGGTAGGTAGTTAGCAACCGCAGATATTTTATAGTTTTGAATTGTATCAGAATTGTTATCATATAAGATGCTAGTACCGATCCCCTGTTTCAGTTTACCTCCGTCGCCTCTGACGACACCATCGGGACAATATCCCGATATCGTACGTCACCAGGGGGCTTGCAAACGCTTGCTTATTTTTAACAAAATTTAAGACTCGGTGCATCTGCTGATTAACAAACGATATTCTAGTAAAGAACTGATAATGGAAATTCCATGCGAAAACTAACGTCCTCCAGACAGAATTTCGGACACGGCGGTCAGTCTCAACTAAGACCAGCCATCAGCACAGTGCATACTCAAGCTCAGGATCACTCTATATTCTTTCACTCTCATCGTCCGATGGGACGGTATCCGTCACTACCGGAGAGAGATCAGGTGCAGGGCCAACGGATTCACGTGCTTTCCGAGGCACATGGTGAAGCACCGCCAACTTCCTGACTCCGAACTGCTACTGAGAATTTCTTATCGAACAAACCCAAAAACTGATTTCGACTCGACTCGGAATTTGAGCTCGAGACCTCAAGAACATTAGTCGCGTTTACGACCACCAGAGCAAAGGTAGTCGAAACTATTGCTATTCCTACTTCATCGGCTCGTGAAAGTCCAATGTTGCATCAGGTCGCAGCGAGGATTTACCTTAACAATCACGCTTGGCAGAATTGCAAACGGGCATGCGACTCACCTGATGGTGAGTGTCGACCGCCAACCATAAACAACTGCAACACCAGTGGAATTGCAGGTGCGTTGGCAACATTTTAAAAAGGAGTAAGCTCGTTTCTTGAAGATTCTTATTCACATCGGTCCAGAAAAATCTCCGGTGGTAAACGATTCCATAAAGAAGTCGTGCGAGGAAGAAAACTCCTAGTAAATTGTACAGTGGTGGACCGCTAAACATCCAGATAGTGAGGCGGTATCGTAAGTTTAGTGGCGATATGCGTTGGTGGAATTTGGCTGGAATTAATCCGTATAATTCCTCCGAATACTTTTACGTGGTAGAGCCACGCTGCAACTATATTAATAGTATAGTTGTAGCACGAATTGATCGGCTCGACTGGGGAAGGACCACGCTCTCACAGAATACCAGCGTAAAATAGCAGCTTAATGCTGCTGTGTTTCGTATGGTGAGTGTAGAGAACCGGAGAACGATTTTACTGGAAACTGCATTCTATCTTAGTCCTCACGGCTGACAACGCATCTGCACTTTAATTCGCAAACAAAGATAGATGTAGATGTCTATGGGCCACAGCAACCACTTACCATCAGGTGGACTGTGTGCTCGTTTGTCACCCTTATTCTATAAAAAAAAAGAGTACTCCCCGTGGTAAATGTGATAGAAAACGCAAAGTGATACAACATCTCTTCGCAGTGTTTTTCGTTTGGCGTAAAAAAGATTAGTTATAGCGACATCTATCGGGAGCTTAGATTGTAAATATGCATAGCTTGTTTATGTATTCTCAAAGATCGGGAGCCATCAGATTTTTTTAAGACCCACGTGAGGAAATGGGCTGGTGATTATCTTACGCCGCCACCTAGTTCACTTTTAAACCTGATCACTACGTAGTTAGGTAGTGATCATATTAAAAAAACCCAAATGATTCGCTTCTCCAATGTCTCACGTTCAACCGTCATGACCTGAAATCAACACGTATCACCTTTCTAAAGTTCCTAGTAAAGCATGACGATTATTGGACTTCCTAGTAATATTATAACGTGGTAGAGCCATGCTGCAGCTATATTAGTAGTATAGTTGTAGCACGAATGGATCGGCTCGACCAGGGAAGGACCACGCTCTCACGCTCACGCTCGACTACAGAATACCAGCGTAAAATAGCAGCTTAATGCTACTGTGTTTCGTATGGTGAGTGTAGAGAACCGGAGACCCTTTTTACTGGAAAAGAGGCATTTCATCTTAGTCCTCATGGGTGACAACGCATCTGCATCAGGTGGACTGTGTGCTCGTTTGTCACTCAATCCTATAAAAAAAATCTTAATCTATCTTCTTTCAATGACGTCTTTTGAAACTGATGTAATGATGACTAATTTAACCATGAAATTTCCACAGGGCAACGTGACAAGCCGTTCGTGTCCGATGAGGACATGCGATTCCGGACGCCACGGCCCAATATCCTATCAGTACCGCCCAACAGCAACTATTACGAAGGACTGAAAGAGGCAGAGACAAAGGTAAGAGTTTGTTACGTGTTATGGCTATGTTACACCACGACACGACACTTTTATGGTTTATGGGTATCTGACGAGATCACCGTAAGAGGTTATCATGGATACCTATAGTCCGCTAAAGTAATGGCTAATATAAACTCATCCTCTTGAAAAATTATTTTAATTGTCCTGTCACTGAGACCGGTTCATTCTGTACTTTCACGTCGCAGCACATTTTATTTATAGGATAAGGGTGACAAACGAGCACACAGTCCACCTATGGTAAGTGGATCCGTGGCCCATAGACATTCAAAAATTAAAAAATAATAAAATTAAAAAGCATTATTGTATTCTGTGAGAGTGTGGTTCTTCCTCAGTTGAGCTACAACTATAATATAGCTGCAACATCGCTCTACTACGTAATTAAATTATTTTTTGGGAAAGTGTGGTGGAGGCTGCCGTGTGGCGATGGCGTTAGAGAATCCATCACTTCATACCGTCTCATGGGGTTTTAAAAGGTGGCTAAGTGATCATATGCCAAATAGATCATGTAGCTCCCGATAGATGGCGTTAAAGCTAATTCGTTTAAGGCATTCGTAAAATATCGAAACAGACGACAAGCGACAGCGTCAAAGGTGTCAGACGCATTGTAATCGTCAATAACCTGCTAAGGGTCATGTCGAATAGGGAAGGCTCATGTCTAGTATTGGACTTTTATGGTATGTTACGTTTACGTGGAAAGCCACGCTGCAGCTATGTTATGGTTTTAGCACGAATGGGTCGACTCGACCAGAGGAGGGCCAGCCAATGCTGCGTATGGAAAGAGTAAAGAGAACCTGAGACTTTTTACTGGAAACGAGGCATTCTATCTTAGTCTTAGTTAGGGATTGCAACGCATCTGCATTTTGATTCTTAACCTAGAAGGTGTAGATGTCTTTTGACCACAGCATCCACTAACCACCAGGTGGACTATGTGCTTGTTTGTCATCCTTATTCAATAAAAAAGTGATAGAAACAGAATAGAATAAGAGCAAAATGTAGTTAGAGCAGAAGAAGACTTCATCTTATTTGTTATTAATTTAATATTTTAATAAAAAAAAAAGTGTTTCTTTCATTCATTCTATCTTAGTCGGCTGACAACGCATCTGCATTTTAATTCGCAAACGAAGATAGATGTAGATGTCTATGGGCCACAGCAACCACTTACCATCAGGTGGACTGTGTGGTCGTTTGTCACCCTTATTCTATAAAAAAAAAATCATCATTATCATTACAACCTTTGACAAGTCCACTGCTGAATATAAGCTTCCCCCATGGAATGTCACAAAGCACAGTCCGGAACTACCTGCATTCATCGCCTTCCTGCATATCTTACCATTTACAATACATACAATCAGTATTGTGTGTGTATAATAATAATGTGTTTACTAATTTAACCTATATATTTTTCAGTATCCTGTGCACCCGGGGAACAGCATTGTGGGAATCGCGGATTCTATAACGGATGCAAACAACAACGATCTAGACAGCGCCAAACAAAACTTCCGACCACCAACGTCTTGGTCGACCAGAAATGGAGGCAAAAATACTGCTTATAACTTTACTAATTTTAATAAAAGCATTGGGTCCAATAGTAAAAAGATTAGAGACAATACTGATGAGGTTTCTCAAAGGACTGAACCAGCATTCGTGCCAACACCCAATAAGAATATCAGAAATATTAATCGAGTTAAAATTCCGCCTCCTTCCAGAGAACTCAGCCCACCGATCCCTCCGCCGACTACAGAACATGATACTGAGGGCTTAGGTCTCGATGTCAGAGGGAGAGCAATCACAGAAGACCCCGTATTCAATTTCATAAAACGCTTCGATCCAAACACACCGGATGCCCATAAAACTTCAATGACCAAAACGGAAATTATAGAACTCAATAAAGAATTACCTGCAGGGCAAGTCAGTTCGGAAGAAGAACGTACACCGCGCAAGAATAAAAACTTCCGTGACACAATCAATAAAGTCCTGAACGATAAAAAGAAAGGCGTTACAGAAAACACAAGATTTGATTCAGTACATGTAAAATCAGGCAAAACAACCGAAGGGTCAAGTACATTAGGCGCTACAGGCAATAGTCAAATACCAGTGCCTGATAAGCATTTGCTGCCTCCAAAGCTCGAGTATTCACCAGTGCCCTCAACAACGATGGGCCCGCCGATATACTACGAATGGAAATGGGCTGTGCCCGCATTCGATCTAGAGCCACCAAAAGAAACCAACGTCACTAACACAACGGGTGCACCTCAAAAGAGAACTGCACACGGAAAACGACCTTTCAGTGACGTCACACCACGCACGACAACATTACCCAACACTCCAGCTCCTTTAAACACTGAGTACAACATCAGCTCTTACTTTGTCCCAGACTATATCTTTCCATTAGATAAACCGCATCCAAGCTACGAAGACGATAACGCCGAAACTTCTTTCCACGTGAAAGTGGCGAGACCCGGAAGGGCTAGTTATGGTGAAAACGAGGAATGCCCTCAATGCCATCCAGCTTACCTCAAACCTGGTACTTGCGAACCGTGCATTGTGAAACGGTAACAAACGAAACGACTGTGTTAAAGCCATTTAGTTTAAACGGTTACTCGTTAAGAAATAGCATGATAATCATGATAATTATGTACTACGTACTAGAATAGACACCGCAAACAAATCTGTGTCGGAAACACAGAGTAACTTTTTATGGCACAGACTAATTTTAAGCCCGTGGGCGCTAACGCGTGTTGCAATCAACCAAGTCTCCGCGTCTCTTCATGTACGCAGTACATATTACTTCAATGATGACTATCGAGATTGTTTCTGAATATCAATGTTATTATTTATTAGGCGGACTTTGTACACTCGATGAAATTCGGATCGGTCAGCCATTTTATTAACAAGGAATGAAAATCTTATTCACGCGCAAGGCATCACAAACAAATGAAATAAATGCCCTATATAGTATATTATCTATGAAAATGGACTAGGCATTAATGCATTTAGTTGTCATCTGGGAGTAGGTACTTACGACCATAATATATTCGTTTATTATAGCTTATCTAAATTAAGCAACTGTCTCTTTCTATTTATCATTTAGTAAAAAGAGAGAGCATTTCGTAAATTGACATTGATTTTAATGAGTAACGCATATGATTTATGAAATTACATATATTAGAAACAAAAAATTAATACTATATTTTATTTGTGAGATTGGTATTTAATTAGATAATTACAAATAAAGTAAAGAATAAAGTAAATAAGGTTTTATTGCAAAAAAAAAATTAAAATCATTTGTGGAAACGCAAATAAACATCCGCGTAAAGAATTGTTCAAGTTATGTATTATTTATAATTACTCGTTAATATACATGTATGCATAAACCAAACGTTACATTACCAGATTTTTAAACAAAAATTATGACCAGTTATAATAATAAATTTAAATAATCGCTTTGTGATTGAAATGCTGTTTTTAACACTATATTCATAAAATTAGAAATATTGTATTGTTCATTTCCATTTTTGTTTTAATACACAGAGGATCAGACAGATCAGAATAGCAGTCTATTACAAATATATTCAAATATGTCTAAAGTTGAACGAGACACGAAAAAAATTGATTTTCATGTTATTTTATGAAGGTCGTCGAGGTCAAGGTCAGTACGCCGAGTGACAAAGTCCTGCATGTTGAGGCTAGGCTTTGCAAATAGGATATTATTTGTTAGACTCACGCTTTATAGATTGCTCTCTCTTTATGGATTTTCGTTTGGAGAGCGTCGCAGAAAATTTAATATTAAAAATATGCTCTAAGTTGCATTGTCCGGTTTCCCGTCGTCAAATAATAACTATTACGTCCCGTAGCGCTCTATAATTTCGACGGCCGTATGTTGCATTAAAATTATCTTTCAAATTAAACTGTGTATAGGATTCCCACAATTTCGTCATTTTACTTCACTATTTCATGAGAAGTGGAAAAAAATTGGGTTCCCGAGGTTATTCTATGCTAAATATTTATCAGCGTTATATTTCAATAATTTTATCTCAACTAACAGCACGATTTAGAATTTTTGGTCAGTGGCCATTACGGGAACTTTTGTAAAATTGATAATTATTATAGAAGATCTAGATAGCGTCTATATAGCGTTAGCCTTAATATTTGCAATTTTTTTTTGTCTTGCAACTTATCTAATGTCAATTATTTAAAAAAAACCTCAACAAATTAGGTAAAATGAAATTTTGGCATCTCTTTATATTAGTCTTTCGTAACTTATTAACTTAGTACAAAATACCTAAGTAATTAAATTGTTGATAAAATGTTTCATTATAAGTATAATTATTAAAAAAATTACATTTTAAAACTATTTTTTTTTTTTACTTTTCAAATGTTTAAGAATTAGCAAAGATTCAGTCCACCCAAGCCAATGTTATTTTACTTTTAGTTTAAGGATATTGTTGTATAAAATATATTTTAATTAAAAAAAAATAGAGTCTGTGCGGAAAGAGAACTGACGTGCGTTTTAAGGGCGCTTGTAGCGTTTTTGTTTTAATATTTTCACAAGCGACCTTTGAAGATTGATTGTATTTAAACTATTTTTATATGATTGTACATTTTAAAGATTTATTTTACAATTTTAATCTTGTTTTACTACTTCGCCACAACGCTTTGCTTTCTGAACAGACTCTACTAACCATATGCTGATGCGTAGTGCGTGAACATTGTATGTTACGGCTAAAAGCCGAAGTGGGGTTACTCCTAGGTTTAGCCAGCTACAACAGGGTATAACCAATTGTGGTTTGGTTAAAGTCAGGTGTATTCGATTTATTCTTTGCTAAACTGTGTGGCCGGTTGCTTTCACGAAGACCAAGGTATAGTAAAATCCGAATATTTTTTGTTAAAAACGAAACTAGGATATTCTTCTGTATCGGGGAGGCAGTTTAGACAAACATTCAGACCAGGAAGAATTATTTATAGGCCATACAAATACTTTCACCGTGTGAGATTCGGTCCTGCGGCCCTCAGCGCCTCAACTCATTGCCGCCACGGAGCCTTCAATTAAATAATAATTAAACTGAATACATGACTTATACTTTGTCAAAAATACTAAAGCACTTATCAAGTAATATTAGCGACAATAGGTTAACAACTACGACCTGTTAAATTTGTCAAATGAAAGCACTTACCAAGTTATATCAGCAAGAGTAGGTTAAGGTTCGGCTGTCCACGGGCCACCGCAAAGCCTTTTTATTATTTATACGGACAAATCGAATACATCTTTAACCAACCGCAATAAATTGCAATCGGCTGCATCTATTTGTAGCCGGCTAAACTTAGATGTAACCGATCTTCGGCTTTTCGCCGTCAATATATTTATATTTTGTATATTTTTATACATACGTAGTACGTCGTAACGTAGGCATGTTGTAACTAATTAATACACATATATTTTAAGAGTAAATTTGCTGTTTTATTTTATTTAAATTTCCCCCAAAAAGAAATGATCTCGAAAACATGTACCTACCTACATATGTATATATATATATATATATATATATATATATATATATATATATACCAGGTGTAAATGGGAGTATTCCAACTATTTCTGCAAGTGTTATTGACGTACGATGCTAAAAATCCATCCTATGATAGAATTTTAATTTATGGAAATTAAACTAAAAATTAAATTATGGATGGCTTGGATGATGACGTGTTTTTGTTTGGTGACTTTAACCAGCGAGATATTGTCTGGTTTCCCACTTCGGATGCATCTCTAAGACCTATCAATTATGACAGCACCATCGCCTGTGACCTTGTTGACTTTTTATCTGTTTATGATCTGAAACAGTTCAACCATATATTGAACCATCAACAAAATATACTCGATTTAGTGTTAAGTAATTCTAGATGTGGTATTATAGTGCAAGAGTCACAAAATATAATTTCTCGAGTAGACTTATATCATCCTCCTTTGCAAGTGCTTTTATTTATGCAGGGGCTTCAACTACTGTCTCCCAAATTTATACCTAGGTACAACTTCTTTCTAGCAGATTATCAGGTAATAAATAATAATTGTTTGAACGAAGTGGAACTCAGAATTGGAATCGTGTTTAAAAATAGATGACGTTGTATCTAAATTTTACAATGTTTTAAATCAAATTATTTCTGAGAATGTGCCCATCAGGAAACGTAATAATAAGAAATATCCACCTTGGTTTTCCAACAACCTCATTCGCTTGTTGCATATTTTCAAGGAAAAAGCTCGTCAAAAGTATAAAAAATTTAAAAATGGCTTAGATGAACTAGAATATAATATATTGAAAGAACGAACATCGACCATGATAAAAAATTGTTACAGTAGATATACAGAAAAAGTTGTCAGTAGTGTTATAAAAAATCCAAAATACTTTTGGGCTTACATTAAGAATAAACGTAAAATAAAGAGTGACACGAGATGACCCCCACGAGATGGAGTGACGATCTGGTAAGACATGCAGGAAGTCGATGGATGCAGGTGGCTCAGGACCGTGCTTTGTGGCATTCCTTGGGGGAGGCCTATGTTCAGCAGTGAACTTATGAAAGGCTGTAATGATGATGATGATGAAAGAGTGACATACCATCTGTTATGAATTTCGGAGACAGAGTTGCGAGAGACAGTGAAAGTATTACCAATTTTTTTGCGGACAATTTCGCTTTGGCGTATGAAACGGTTAATGATACTGTTTTGGTTGATGAAACTACGCCTCATGTATTTATAACTTTGGGTCAGATATATATAACTCGTGATAGAATAGAAAAGTCTTTAAAAGCTCTTGATTCCAGTGACGGACCAGGAAACGATGGTATACATCCAATCTTTCTTAAAAACTGTGCTACCAACTTAACAATACCCTTGCATATAATTTATAATCGATCTCTTATGGAAGGTTGTTTCCCCAAACTGTGGAAAGATGCTGTAATTATTCCAATCCATAAAGCGGGTGATAAAAGTAATGTAAATAACTATAGAGCCATTAGTATTCTCCCAGTTCTTGCCAAAGTTTTTGAATCATTAGTATGCCCTAGTATATCGTGGCACATAAAGCAAACTGTGGCAGAGCAACAACACGGTTTTTTTGAAGAAACGTTCTACAGCAACCTTTTAACATTTGCGGATTGAATAATTACAAGTATGAGCTCAGGTAATGAAGTAGACGCAATTTATACCAACTTAGTAAAGCGTTCTTTTATCATTAAAAAATGCTGTGCATAACTTTTAATTTAAATGCATAATATGTATAATGTATTTTTTTTAAATCATGATATTATAAGTTCCTTTTATGTATTTAGTTGGTAAATTAAATACATAAAAGGAACTTATGTAATATAAATGTAAACTTATGTAAATAATTTTTCATTAACTTTTTTCTACTTTTACAGTAACTGCTAAGCATAGATTATGTCTGACTGTTACTGTATATTTTAATGTTTTATAAATCATTTATTTAAATAGAATATAAAATAAACTTAATTAAAATAAATATAATTTAATTAAAATTGAATTTAAAAATCGGATAAGTAGCGTATGCGGCAAACGTTATTCTTTGCGTTTTTTTTCTTAATTATAATGATAAGGCAAAAGTTTTACATTCATAGATATAGCGTCAGTTTATACTAAAATTAAATCTTTGATTACATTGTTAAGCAAAATAAGTAAATTATAAAAATTATGAGGATATCCAGAAGGCACGGTGTCTAGTTAGTTTAGTTTTATTTATTTAACCTTTATTATACACCTTATAATAAGGGATATAAAGGGCGGCCTTCATACCTTATGGCATTCTTCCTTGGATAATTTGAGAAACTCTGGCAGGGGTAAACGATCACTTCATATCTAATACTAGCTTTTGCCCCCGACTTCGTCCGCGTAAATATTATACTTTATACCATAGTTGATTCATCAATAATTGCACTTTCATAGTAAATACCATCACCCTCTTTAGGGATGATTTCCATGATCAACGCTATCTTATTTCCTTCCCCGGGACTTAAACTATCTCGATACCAAAGAACAATGGCAGACTTTCATACATAAAATTAGTTGAGAATGAATGGTCAATAAATCAAAAATATCTTAAAATGTTAAGCGACACTCCCTTCATAACTCTGTCAAAGAACTTTGTCCTGAGAAGGCGTCAAAAAAGATATTTAGATTTGAACCTTTTTAGGTTGTCTTATGTCACTTTGAAAAAGCCATGCGTCCTGTGGTTGTTTGATGTTAGCTTAATACATTCTCAACATAATATGCCCTACCTACATAATTTTTAGATTCTTGTATCTCTATTATATAATTGCATACTATAAATGTATATTTCCGGCATGGCTCCAGGGCCTTTCTGTCATACAGCGACAGTCTCAGAAAGGCTAGAACCCAGAGCCGTAAAGCCATTAAAAACATTGACATTTTGTTTTAGCTAGTGTTGCCATAACATTAAATGGAATTATTACATATTACTATGATTGAACTAATGTATTATTGTAGGAGGTCTTTGTAAGAGACTTCTTTTCAACCATATCACTTTTATTATTATTATTATTACTGATAGTATAGTTATTACTAATAATAACTTAATATTAAAATATATTTTGTGTTTGTGTGTTGTGTTGGTTGGTTTACAGTGTATACGAAAATAGTATGAATTACTATATTGAAATTTTAAAAAAACATCCTAATTTCAATAGGGAAGATGGATGGGTGCTGCCATCTGCTTGGGATCCTATAAGTAATAAAATTAAATCCAAACCCATGCATACCACTGCAATACATCAAGATACTGTAAGCTCATTCTGCGTAGATCGGACCAATAATTAATATTCAAAAACTGAAGGTAGCCGGGCTAACTATGACATCGGGACGTCAAACACCTCAGTCTGGAGGTGGGCAAAGTGTATCATTTTTGCGATTGGAACATTTGCATCTTGATCACAGAAATGTTCCGTAACACTGATATGTTTCATTTGGCTCATTTGGATCATCGACTCAAAAGATATAAAAGAAAGAGATCCGTGAAATGTTATGTGACAACAATGCTGAATAATATAAGTGCTTAGATTATTTATTGTGTACCGTAATAAGATTGTATATAAAATCGATTCCTTTTATACTTTAACAAAAATGTCACTATGTCAATTCATTATTTACAAAAATGTCCATTTACACAAAATTGCAATGTCTATGTACACATAATTTACTCGTAAAGTATCATAACTCTAAACTTTATGATGAAAAGGAAGAAAGTAAAGTCACAATAATCACTACGCAAAGAAATCCTAAACATAACTCGGTATGTTTTCGTAAACAGGCGCTAATGAGTATAAATAATTTAACAAGTGCCGCATCAACGTAAAATGACAACTTGTTAATGCAAACTTTACATACAAAAAACGACCGTATAGTATTTGACACATAAGCGCCTTAGTGGTAATTTTTACGTGTATGAATAACGTCAGCGAAAATCCGTACGAGTTGAGTGATACACTTCTTATTTGTTATCTCTATCTGACTTGTGTGGATTATAATTATTTCGCCCGCTCACTCGCCACTCGTGAGTCAATAGTTAAGTTAATCATTGTCTCAGTCTCTCTCTCTCGCTTGTGGCTGCTTGTGGCTTAGTCGCCTCGCAAGCGACGCGTCGCGCGAAATGAGCAAAGAGCAAAGTAATGTTTCACTGTTCCAGATACAAATGATACATTTGAAACGTTGTTACTGAACCAATCTTTTGTGTCACTTCAGTTATTCGTATCAGTGAGTCGTTTCCGTAAAGACATACACACGCCTACCTCAGTCCCCCGTGACCACGGGTGCTGTAAAGCACCAGAAACTACGAATTAAAGAGTTAAATTAAACGCGATAAAATCCGTAAAAATTAGTTTCATTTAATGTGTAGTATTCGCGTAAATATAACAAGAAAATTAATTTTTGTATTTTCGTATTTTATGTGCTGCCATACCGTTCATCAGATTGCGCTATAACTTTGTCAACTTATTGCTTGCAGTTGCGCGAAGGTTATAGACATAGTACAATTAACTTACAGTAGGTGGCGTGCGTATCGTACCAACAAATTTATTTAAAATACATCACTCAACTTCAATACCTTTCCTAATTAAACAATATAAGTTTTCCAAATTTAAACCGACATTTCGACAATTATTTTTGCTTCAACGCGCTGGGTGCCAGATAGTATTTAATAAATAAGTAATAAAGATATAATATACAATAAAATGCAAATAAGTAGAATATAGTTAGTAAAAATATACATAATTAATATCTACTATATAATATAGAATAAATAATTAACATATAAACGAGTATTTAAATAAAACTAATTTTACGGATTTTATCGCGTATATTATAAAATTAGTTTTATTTAAATGTGCAGTGTTCGCGTAAATATAAGAAATCATTATATAAACGAGTACTTAAATACAAAATCTATAAATAAATAATTATACAATACAAAAATACGCAATACGTATTAAAATACATATACAAAACATTACTTATAAAGTGAATGTGGATAGTCAGGTGGTATTATTGTTATGATAGAATTCTCAAATTAGTCCTAAAATCATTTCTTTTCTTAGACATGCAAGTTTTCATCACGATGTTAACCTTCGCTACGGTTAACGGGACATAAAATTGCAACAAACAATTTCTGGAAATTGGTTTGCTCGCGTAACTAGACGGACACTGACTTAAGTTAGAATATCAAATCTAAACAAAAAATAACGTGTAGTAAGAATATCCACTAGCCCATATCGCCCCGTGGGTGTCGCAAGAAACGACAAATGGAAAGAATCAGAGATGGGCAGCAGTCTTCCTAATAACAACTAAAAATAAAACTACGGTTGCCAACGCGTTTGTCAAGCGTGGCAACTATGGCAAAAAAATTAAATGGCTTAAAATGCAATCTAGCACACATAATAGCAGCGTAAAATTACTACTGCTATATTACTGCTGTTTCGTATGGTGAGTGTTCATAAACGGAGACACTTTTTACTAGAAACGCGGCGTCCCATCTTAATCCTCATCTACATTTTGATTTTTAATTAAAGATAGATATGTAGGCGACTATGCGCCATCAGGTGGACTGTGTGGTGTGTGCTGGCTTGTCATCATTATTCTGTAAAAAGTGGACTTTTGTTTGCCTTAAACGGTAACGGTAAATATAAAACAACAGGTTTCTTTTTCGCGATTTTTTTATTACACAAAAATTAAAACTAATAAATTTACATCACTAACATATAAATCTTATTTATTTACACAGCTTAAAACTATTTTATGGTAGGTAATACTACTATATTTCACAGAGAAATCACAAATGTACACACAAACATACCTTTAAAATGGTTCTTAGTAAGGTCACCCGGGGCGAAAGCAAATATGAGGCTACAGTAACTATCTGATTTTTTCTCAATCTGATGATTATGGTAAAACATGTCATCTGTTGGGGCGAAGATCAATTATAACTGTTGTACCGACAGACCATTTTTTGACAACCACCATTTTAGAGCAACGTTTTGCAGCGTCGTCGTCTATTCGGTTTTGTGCTATAAAAATATTTCACGTAAACGTAAGTGTTTTTGACATATTTGGTTAAACGCTAGGTTATAATTAACATTTTATTGATATATTTACATTTACCTCATTGTGCAGATGGGTGATTGCAACTATTTTTGCAGTTGCAATCGCTTCGTTCCGTGTCGATATTTCGATAAGTGAATTTCACTAACTTATTTGGATAAATGTTTGTCTTCGACGTATTTTTTTATGTTGCCATTCGTTTTTGAATGAGTTATGAATTAATTATGTTTATGTTTGCTTATATTAAAATGCACAATTAATATTTACAATTAATTGTGCATTTAAAGAAGAGCACAATAATTAAAAGAGACGACACAAAAAGTGCAGCTTATTTCTAAAGGAAATCCATAACCGCAGTGGTGGTCGTGTGGTGATAGTGTGGTGGTACTGTAGAGGTCGTGTGGTGGTTACGATGTATTGGTGATGTGGTGGTGGTGGTGTAGAGGTGTGGTTACCGCCACCACCACACTACTTCTACACTAAGACCACTCGACCACCACTGCAGTAATGGTGCGGTGGCGGGCAGGATCAGGCCGGGTCGGCTAGTAAATTAAGAAAATATTTAGACAGAAACTAAATAATTATAAATTTACACAGGGCATACATAAATTAGTGTGTTTATATATAAACTAGCTGTGCCCCGCGGTTTCACCCGCGTCATCACATGTCCGAGTTGCGCGACATGACCTAGTTCAAGCATTTTATAACGGCTAGGGTTTAAGCGTCGTTCGCGCGCCCAGCCATGTATTGAATTATTTTAATTTTACATTATCTCTTAAACTATGCGTCCAAATAACATGGTATAAAGAACAAAGTTTATCTTCATAAAATTGTCTTGATGATGAAGTAACTTTCGTTCGTAAGGATAAATAGGCCATGCCTAATAATAACGCTAATAAATCACTTTTAAATTTTCAATATTTTTTTGTCACAAAATACCAAATTATGGCTTATGTATAAGAAACAGACATATGGTATCGCGGACTTTTTTTTTAGACGGAGTAAAGGTTATTTTTCTAGAACATTGTATTTACGTATCCCTAACGATAACACCAGCGTACGCGGATAAAACATTTCGGGAGTGCTTTTTCTTCTGACTTGCTTAACAAATATCCATATTTAAGGCTAGCTGAGTAATACAGCTTAATGCTAGATAGCCTATACTATTCCACATGAATGTGGCTATAATACACAAAAATATTTTTTCAAATCGGACTGGTAGTTCCAGAGATTAGCGCGTTTAAACAAACAAAAAAAACTCTTCCGCTTTATTATATTAGTATAGATATTACATACATAAATATAGTGAAGATGGTTTTATTATTTATTTAATAGACAAATGTACAATATTACAACAATATCAAAATGTTATAACTTATTCCAGATGGTTCGGCACTACAAATGAAAAAGGGAGAAATCTTATACACGAGAAACGCTTCTTGAAGCTGTACAACTAGTAAAGCTAAAAGAGTTAAACAGTCATGCTGCTGTTGAGCGATTTAATTCCTTAATCAACAAAATTCCTCGATTAACAATCATATCTTATGTATACGCTATGTGCGCACAAAAACAGATAAACCCTGGTAAATATACTGTATTTTCACGATCGTTTGAGTAAGAAATATCTTCCTATTTGAATACAATGGAAAAAAAGAATCTCCTTTAACCACGAAAGAAGTCAAGGCATTTCAAGTTTTCGTTTTGTAACAGATATTTTTATTACTTTATTAGAAAAGTTAAAAACCTTTTCATATCAGGATTTTTTTTCTAAATAAGCATAAGTACAAGATAAAAACAGGAATCGCTTTTTCTTTTTACCTAAATATCAGATTACTTCATTACTGTCATTGCAAATCTGTTTCTCGAAGATTTATCGATAAGTAATATGTACCTATCATAGCACTAGTCAGTTTGGAGCACAGTCGCATTCACATCAAAAAAATTAAAATACGTTTTTCTTTTGGAAACTGTTACCGGCGGCTAGATTAGACCATTTTAGAATAGTTTTATGGTGAAACTACATATATTCTTATCCCTAACATCTAGTTATACAATACAACAGGGTATAATCACTAATAGTTGCATTAACCCCAAGGTGGGGTAAATGTAACTTTTACCTCTGTTATTGATTAAGAATGTAAATTATTAAACAGCTAAGCCTATTTGTCACCTATTTCATGTAGAAAATGTTCAATGAAAGGTGTGGGTGGAATTCACTAGGTTTATTCATATAACCCTTCTTATTAAATAGCTCATGGTGGAGGACAGCAAAGTTATAATTTTATTTTTTTTAGTTGCTTTCGCGCCGGGTCACTTTTATAGAAATAATAATGTATTTATTCTGTACCACCAGGTTCAAAATAATTTGACATATCTTAGTATGTATGTAATTTTGTTTGATAATCAAAATTTTATGACATCATTATTTTAATAAATGCTTGTATACAAATTTAATAAACAAACACTGTCACATTGACATTATTTTACACACATTTTATTAATTGAAAAACAAAATGTTCGTTATCCGCATTACCGGAACAATCCCTCAATCGGAAGTGATCTCTTCGGCGACCTGTTGCCATTTCGCAACTAAGGTGGATACGGATTTGTGTTTCAGTCCCATCGATGCAGATATCTTTACCTGTAACCATATTCATAAATAAACAAAAATACCGATTTTGTTGCAACATTTTTTTTATCACCTTTTCGTCTTTGGTGTGGGGTCTAATATATAAACGAATTTTCAATAAGAATCCACGACATTTTCTACCAGCAGGGTGACTTATTAATGAAGTGAAATATTCGGCAATTTTAACATCGGTGGAAGTTAATTTGATAGAAAAGTGTAGAGATTAATGTTTCTTTTCGAAATAATAGTTATATTTTATATTTTTTTTATAGAATAAGGGTGACAAACGAACACAGTCCACCTGATGGTAAGTGGTTTCTGTGGCCCATAGACATTTACATCTATCCTCGTTTGCGAATCAAAATGGAGATGCGTTTTCACCCGTGAGGACTGATGGAATGCCTCTTTTCCAGTAAAATGGGTCTCCGGTTCTCTACACTCACCATACGAAACAGCAACGTTAAGCTGCTATTTTACGCTGGTATTCTGTGAGAGCGTGGTCCTTCCCCGGTTGAGCCGATCCATTCGTGCTACAACTATACTATTAATATAGCTGGAGCATGGCTCTACCACGTAAAACTATATTAATTAGATTAGAAATATATTTAAAAAATACGTATGCAGTTCACACGCGGTACAAGTGAAACCTTCAGAAAACTAACCTTCGAGAGAATGAGATGCAGAGCATCAAGAGTATGATAATTGTATTATGTAATTAAAATATAAATATGATTTTATAATAAACACTTCTTACTTTCACACGTTACGTAGGTTTCACAACTTCGCTACATCCTATATAGATGTATACGTTTGTCTCTTTTTCTTTTCATCTAGTTTCAAATAACGATTCTAAAGAAATTTCACTTCAAAAAAAGATAACAAGGTGAAAAAATTAAAGATTACAACACTGAGGCATTATTTTGTGTATTTATACATACACTATAATATTTGCGTTGTAGCATGGTACTGATGACAGCTTGACAGGTCACTAGTACGTAACTGGCGTGCGTTTGCAAGATACGACAATTTTTTTTTAAATATGAGAAATTAACAGTGAATTTGTTTTTATTTATTTTCTCTATTCTATTAGATTAACATTTACTTCAAAAATCTCACATAATGTAGTTTTTTTTTCTCCAAGAAAATTATAAAACTTGAATTTATTTCTTTTGCGTGCCGCAATTACGTACTATATACTTACCAGTGGTAATTTTTTTTTATTATTAGAGATGTGCCTCATAATCGGACGTAAAAACTGTCAAGCGAATACAATCGTAAAAAATAAGTAAGATAATTCTATTTTAGTATGTGTGATGCAATTAATTTTTTACGATTCATGTACTACAATAGACAAATAAATAAATAGAGAAAGTGGTATAATTAAAAGAAATTAAGTAATATTATATTTATTCCGCCATTTTGTTGTTTTAGCTTAAAGTAATTTCGAAGATGAATGTTTAACGCCCCCGCTTGACTTGCCCATATTGACAAATAGCAAAAATTAACTTAACAAAACACAACAATAAACTCAATAATCGAAAGTAAAAGCAATATAAATTCAACTAGAAATTACAAAACAGCCGACAGGTACATCATACAAAGTGCTAGACACTAGCATACATTTTTACCAGGTCCCAGTGTCCCATTTGCGCCGGGCGTCCAGATTATCAGGTCTGGTGACACGTCCCGATTCACCCTTGATGGCATCCTACCAAATGTCTCGATTATTTACTAACCTCCTAAATCTGCACTTTGATCGATAATTATAACAGCAAAAATAAATGCATCTGTAAACTGTTACTGTGACTGTTACTACATTTAAATATTTTAGATTTGACATTTCATATTTTCTCACCAAACTCGAACTAAATAGTCAACTTCAAAGTTTTACACTTTACGCGTATTGTGTTGGCAATATACAGATATGTTGTTTCATTTTTTCTCTCGCCGAGTGATTCCGCCCGCCGCGCCACGCTATGCATCGACGTCGTAAATTCGACCAATATTTATTATTTAACTCTTTTACTGGTAATTGGTACAGTAACTAACTTACACGTTGCGGTTTAGATAAGTACTTAGTAAAATGCAAAAGTTTTATGAGTTAGTTCTTCCACTAGTCAATTTCTTCAAGCGGTTGTAGGTATTGTTATTTTCAATAAATAAAGTGACATTATGCGTGCGATACAAGGATTTTATCATGGCATTTGAGGTTATAATTTGATTATGAATGAATGTCGGTTTTTTTATTGTATGCCGTTTTTAACAGGTTTTTTTTTAAATGCATGCATTGTGAGTTCATAAGATTTATAACTTTTTTAGAATAACATTAAAATGAGTCACTCAGAAAATTTAGTCTGCAACGATAACTTATTACATTACAACACAAGTTCATATTTTTCCAAAAAAGAAAAACGTACATAGACGAATATGTAGTTTTTCCGATGTTTGGACGATAAATTATTCGTTCATTAGCTCAGTCCCAACAATAATTATAAAGCACATTGCACACTATGCCAAAATGAGTTTAATAAAACTCATAGCGGCTAAAATGTCTTCAAAAAACCTGTTTATCTTTTATTTTAATTTTTTGAGATTTGTAAATATCATTCTCGATTGTTTTGGCGCTAGGGCTCATGCCTTAAAAAGCTGCAGGTGTAGTCAACGCTGTACTGAAACTCACATGTGCTGGCGGTCATTTTATTTTAATATCAAGATAAATGTTGCAATTAACATAAAGTAGAAGATGATTTTTATTTTCAAATTAATACGCAGTATAATATGTAACTATAATATATAACATATAATATGTATTTTGTATTAAACTGTAACTAAAATTTACATGCATTGTAATTTAGAAAGATATATGTGTTCCGGTTTTAATTTTTTTATCTATAGCTAATCGATAATTTTTGCTTTGCTTTGTGTATCGTTAATCGCCTTTTTTTAAATCGATTTAACTTTGTTCCATCTCTAGACACGCTAAACTGTAAACTGTCACCAGCACCATGCTATAACGCAAAGACTATAGACACCCGAATAGTAAAACTATTGAGCTGTGTCGTTATACTATTATTATAATAATACTACTACCTTTGATTTCTTCTTACTAGTCTTAGCATCTTTGTCTTTCGCCCTGTAGTCCTTAATTTCCGGCGGCGGCGGCGGCTCTGGGGAATTGGACGCTGTGTTTGGACCGGACTGTTTCTCAAGCTCCGCGATGTCGCTGTAGAAGGACATCAGCTCGTCGCCGATCTCTTTTTTCGGTTCCTTTGAAAACATTTTAAGAATTTTAAAACATAGCTAGCAGTTTTTAAAACAGCATTTTCTTGATAACTACTATGGCAACTACGGCAAACATACCCCTATGAGGCAAATAATGCCTATGTTCAGCAGTGGACACAGCCATACAGTGAAAACCCTCAGCCATCTTTTCTATAGTTTATATATAGTTTTATAGTTTTTTAATCTCGACAACCTCGTCAATCATCCTTGATAGGAATCGGTGTTCTATTGTGAGCATTTATAATTTATCAAATGTTATGTAAGGGTAAGGCCGATCCTGAACATGTTCACGGACAGTAGTCTACGGAGTTTGCTAGAGATCCCATCATTAATTAAATTAAAACCAAATCCAAACATACCACTACAAAACTTCAAGGTACTGTAGACCCGTTCTATGTAAATCGGACCAAAGATTAATATTGTTGCGCGCCACTATTAATGTCCTGTACATGGCAACACTAGTTACACTAGCGCCCTCTAGTGTCGAGTAAAATAAAGTTTTGCGCGCCACTTATAATGTCTTGTACATGGCAACACTAGTTACACTAGCGCCCTCTAGTGTCGAGTAGCAGAACTAGGAGAGTCGAGATCCTTCCAGAAATTTCGGGACTGATATGTATTAAAGTGTCAATTTTGGTAATTCAATCGGCAGTTTTTAATTGTCTCGAACCCCAAGCTCGTAACAATATTTAAAAGAAACTTTTTTTTTAAATAAAATTCCGTTAAAATTAGTTTTATTCAATGTATAGTACCCGGGTTAATATAAGACTTTTTAAGCTTTATTTCTAAAATTTTATTTAATAACAAACTTACCAGGGCGCCAGTTAAGTGGTAAGAGGTTACTGTAGTCCATGGACAACTGTAATCAACTTCAAATAAAGAACGCCACAAATACGTTTTCAACCTTGGGGTCCTAGATGGAATGCCTGCTATGTCATTCAAGTCCGGAACACAGCAGTACGCGTACTGCTGCTTGGTGGCATTAATAAGGTAAGACGATGGTTTCCTATCCAGTCGAACTTCAAGTCAAAAACGGAGTACTACTACCTAAGTGAAAGTAGTAAGCTTATTGAAGTTCACCTGGGCAAGAACCGCCTTCTTGGTTGCGTCTATCGAGAACGCCGGCTCTCATACTTCTGCAGCAGAGGTAAACTGGTGTAATGCGGTGGGGAAGACTAAATTACCTGAATCCTTGATTGCGATGTGCGAATAGGAAAGCAGGGAAAAGTTCTTGATTCATTTTTGGCCGTTGGAAGGATAAGGGGAGATCTCCCACCGGGCAAGGTGTATTGCCCGGGGAGCGGCCAACGTTCCGAGTGGTAGTTCGGAGCTATATACTGCTTTTACTTGGGAACTTTGATAGCGCGAATTAGGCTTCGATGTGTTTTTTAGATGTATCGCAATTATGCCTCGTTAAGAGGCGAAGCACGTGTTGCAATTTAACAAGCATTTTTTTTAAAGAATTTAAAAAAGGCATTAATGTGTATTACAAAGTGTTAGGGTTGTAATTGTGGGTGGGGATTGATGTAGTGATGGCGTTAGGTGTGGCATTTTAAGTCATTTTTAAATACGAGTTTGTGTACTTACAATACATTAACAGTGTGTATACAAAACTCGTGCGAAGCAGTGCAGTGTTCTTGAGGCTTGAAGCACCATTATATTTTTGCATATAAATCTGCGTGAAATAATTTTGTTTCTCATCTAAACATTATAAGTACCGAATCTTTTCACTGCATAATGTCACGTTAAGAGGCGAAACACGTGCTGCAATTTTACAATTGGTAGTGTATATTACCTAGTGTTACAATTGAAGTAGTAGGTGAGAATTCACATTGCGATAGCGTTAGGTGTGGTCATTCTTAAAACGAGTTTGTTCAGTTTTAATAAATTTGTATTTATTACAACTGTACAGAAATTAAATTAATAATTTTTGCACGCCGATTACGGCAAAACATGTTAGTTCTACATTAATGTACCTATCTAATACATTAATAGTGTGTATACGAAACTCATTGGGAGGAAGTTTTTCTTGAGACAAAGTACATTTTAACAAAGTATATTTTTGCATATAATAAATCTTAGTTTTTTTTCTCATTTAAATATTACAGATGCAGTCTTTTCACTTTATAAAGTCACGTTAAGAGGTGAAACACGTGTAGCTATATTTTATCGATTATGGTGAAGATTACCAAGCGTTTAGTTTGAATTTGCGGGTTAGGTATGGTGTATTGATGATGATACCTCCAAACAACCTTAACACGGTGACGCGTTATGATGGTATCATGATGTGAGGTTTAGTGAATGGAAATGTGGGTTAAATCTACTCTAAAGGGTGACAACGCATCTGCATTGTCATTTTACTATTACAAACAAGTTTTGGCAATAATTAGGAACACTTCGAAAAATCAACTAAAAATTAATTACTTTTCAAAATGGTGTGGATAAAGCAGCGCCCTTTTGACCTTTTACTATCTGAATGACTGATCTTCATCAGTCAATCATTATTTGATTGACTGATGAAGACAATAAAAGGTCAAAAGAGCTATCGTATCACAAAGCCACCTATGCAAATAAGGCTGTAGTTTTTGAGTTATAAGCAAGTGATCATATTAATCGGATGCCCATATTACCCTCACGTATCCTAGTGGCAGTAATTTGGGTGGTGACTCACCGGTGGCAGCGGTGGCGGCTCGTCGCAGCCCGGCGGCGGCGGCTCGGGCCACGCGGGCGGCGGCGGCGTGGCGCCGCGCTCGCCGGGAGGGGGGGCCGCGGGCGAGCCGCAGGGGGAGGGGGAGAGCGACCTCGCGGCAGCGGGAGGCAGCAGCGGTGCTTGTTGCACCAACTGCGGGCTCGGAAGCTCCTCCTGTGGGGTTGTAACAATAACAATTTTTTTTTTTTTATAAAACTAGTGAAAAACTAATTTACAGTCAAATACTTCTATGGATAGTACTTAAACGGCAATCCAGAATAAAAAATGTGTCACAGTTATGGATGATGTAAAGTGGTTATACTTTATAAGACTTCCGATGGGCAGCTCACATCTGGTACTGCGATATTCGCACATCAAGCGTGACGATTACGACAAGTCCTTCTTAAAAAGTGAGAGAACCATGTCTAGTAGTGAACCTTTTTATATTATACTAAGCCAGCGCCCAACCACAATCCCACTTGATAGTAAGTGGTGATGTAGCCTAAGATGGTAAAGCGCACTGACTTAACAAAGTCCTATTCACTCTTGTCTTGAAGACACCCACATTGTAATCGGATGGAAACACAGATGCTGACAACTTATTCCACTCCTTTAATGTACGCAACACGAACAATGTAGCATACCGATGGTGGAAGGGAGAGGGAGGAATTAAATTATGCAATTCCTGCGCACAGTCTCCAGAAATGCATCCTGTAGAAAACAGAAAATTCAAGGCTGATAAGATTGGTTTTAACCAAATTTGGGTCACCAATAAGTCTCTTAGTTCGCTATTCCCTTGAGTCCAAAGCTGCTAGGTCTCCACGCACTTGGCCCGGCGAGAAGTATCGTCGTACCTTTACAAGGACTACTAGCTTCCTTGCAGCTGCTTTGGTCTTGGACTCAATGAACCGCCCGAAAGTCAGATTTGAAGATATCTCAACCTTTTACAGGCCTGCAGGTACATTATAGTTATAGCACGGATGGGTCACTTCAACCGGGGAAGGAACACGCTCTTACAGAATACCAGCGTAAAATATCAGCTTAATGCTGCCGTGTTTCATATGGTAATTGTAGAGAACCGGAGACCCCTTTTACTTACAACGAAGCATTCCATCTTAGTACTCAAGGGTGACAACGCATCTGTATTTTGATTCTATATTGAGGATAGATGTAGATGTCTCAGGGCCACAGCATCCACTTACCATCGGGAAGATTGTGTGCTCGTATGTCACCCTAATTCTATTTAAAAAAATGCTATTTTGAATAATGATTATAATATTCGTTAATTTACCAAGCAGTGGCAGTGTAATATTAATTAATAAGCTGTAAAAATATCCACTGGCCTATATCATCGCGTGGGTGTCGTAAGAGGCGACAGAGGGAAACAAATCAAGAGATGGGTAACAGCGTTTTCCTAATAACGACTAAAAATAAACTGTGGTTGCCAACCAGCTTGCTTGCCAAGCGAGGCATCTATGGCAAAATGCCCCCTCTGAGGCAATCTATGGGGGAGGCCTGTGTCCAGCAGTGGACTTAATAACTAATAGGTTGTAACGGTAACGGATAATTTAGATAGTGGCATTGCCAATATGCAGAAGTACCTTGGGTTCGATGCCGGGGTGAGGAGGTGTAGTGGAGATGTCCATGTCGGTGTCATCTCTCGCCGGGTACTCCCACTGCTCCAGCCCGTCAGCCTCCCGCCGGTACCGGTAGCGCCCCTCCGACCTGTGCACGCCACACGTACAAGCACCAACAGTGGGGGGCGGTCCACGCCCCCTAGTTTTACATGGACGGGGCTGTCCCAAACAAGTCCCATTATACTTGTAGAGTTTCACAAAAACCGGTTGAAAGTATGCAGTTATAATTTTATAAAGGACTTTAAATTGGTTGTCTGGAAGAAATCGCTTTCAGGACTAGAAACCTATATTGTTTGGAGTAAAAATTTCTTTAGAATCGTTGCGATTTGAATTTCGAAGCGATATTAAAAAGAGACAAACATATATATCCTATAGAAGTATATACAAAAGAATTTGTAATGGGATTAGTAAGATCTATATTCTATAGCTATGCAAGGACGAAACCTTTTCGAGAAAAGTACTGAATTCTCTGAGCTAAACGCATTCGAGCAATTTGCTAAATTATAGTGGCATATAACCATAACGATGACAACGTTAGTTATCTGAATAAAAAGTTATGGAAGTTGTTGTTTTTCTAGTTTATGTGGTATAACAAACTATCGGTGCTATTAGACTGTATAAATATACATTTCAATACAATTTATGGGCAGTTTTCAAAGGAAACTAGATCATTTATTACTCCTCAGTCAAAAGTACGCTTTTAAATTATTGTTTGGGAAAACCACAACTATGTAAAAATACGGGGCTCTCTTATAGATCTAACCATTCATACATTACGAATATACAAACTGGACTCTAAAATATAAATTATTTGGAAGTTTAAACCAAATTTTTATACTCTTAAAGGCAGATTCGCATATTCTTAGATAAAATTGAGTGTATACTAAACCCATAATAATCTGTTGTTTTGTGTCTGCGCTTTGCCTAATATTTTTATTGATATTTATTAAAAAAAAAAAAATGTTTCTTAAAATCTGGACACTTTTTAAAGTTTGAATTTTTTCAAAAAGTTTTTAAAATTTTTAAAGTTTGAAAAAACTTTTTATATAATTGCAACAGTATGTTTCCAAACTAGGCTAAAAACTATTGAGCAGACACAAAGGAACTCCGCTTGTCGCTCCGCAAGAAGACTTCTTTGGCGACATTCTGGAAAAGACCAAAGTGTAATATCTCGAAAATAAATGAATAACAAATAAAATCTGTCTCTCACCATACTCCTCGGCGCGGAGTCTTCGGCTCTTCGGTAATTCTTCAAGCGGTCCAGTGTTGCCATGTTGATTTCTTTGTCTTTCTTACACTAGATTTTACAAAGACATGGATAGGATGGTAACACGGAAGGAAACTCGAACTATATTTATTAATATTTATTATCAGGTACACAGTATCACAGTTAGAAAAAATATCACAGATTTTACAAAATCCATAAACGAGTTAAATCGTCTATGAATCATATGACAGTGTATATTTTTAAAACATCTAACTTGTATTTCATATTGAAGCTACAGAAAATTACTTTGCTGACATTAAGGTCAGTAAGTTTTAAATTGGCTTCTAACTTGTTAAGAGATATAAAAGCTTGTTTCATAAGAAAAAAAACATTACATTTATGCCTGTATAAGTGTATATACAACAGTAATAAGTGATTCTATAGATATAAAAATATCTTTAGACCAAAAACACACCATTGACAAAATGAAAAAAAAAATATTGCATAAAAATCAACCCTTGCAATAGTCAAAAACAACATTTTTAGACATTATGTTGGTTGATGAAACGAAAAAAAATGCCCTTCTTAATTCAGAATCAAAATTCGTACAAAACTTTTAAGTTGAGAGCTTCAACAACCAACACCCATTAATATTATATCAGTAACAAAAATCAGTATAATATAAATTTGATCAACTTAACTGACTAATATTAATTTTATTACCAACATGTCTACTAGAGACAAAAAGGTTTGGTACAAATTGATAACACTACTCTTTCACGTTAAAATTAAAAAAAATATACACCTAGTGAATACACATTTTAATTCATAATCAATAGTTTTTAGTAGAACAATCCTGAACCTTAAACTCGTTCAGGGTGCTCAGTCACATTAATTGAAAATTCTCTGATTGTATTGATTATAGAACGTAGATACCCCGATTACACCAAATGCTTGTAAACGAATTTCAACTTATCACATCATTCGTTAACTGGAGAATTATTTGAGTTATAATAATTTTGTGTAAGGATACTTCGCACACCGTACCATATGTAAATACTTGATTATGTTGGGTAGTGACTACTGATTAAGTTAGTATAAACGAGTTTCACAATAAGGAAACCTTTTAGCGGTAAATGTAAAGTATTTAATTAATAGAATATAACGTTATTTTGCGGAAAGTCTTTGCATTAACGATGTAAAATTAATCTAATAAGATACACACTAATAAATACTGTATTTTGTCTAGTGGAAGTCTATCACGACGATGCCTTATTTTGGGGCGAAACACGTATCTAATATAATGATATCTGGTGATGACAGAAGTTAGGTTTGTACTATTCATATTTAGAAAATATTTATATAAAATGTGGTAATTAATTTGCTACTTAGTAGTCTTAGAGTCCATCATGATAGTGCCTTATTTTGGGGCGAAACACGTAAGGCGTTAGATTTCGTGGCGTTGAATGATAGTGGATGATGGTGGAAGGTTGGTTTGTATTATTGAAATTGAGGATCTTATGACTAGGGCTTCCAAAATTACGGATATGTTAATTACGTAACTGATTACGAATTTTGGTGGTCCAATTACGTAACTACGTAATTACGTAATTTCTAAGATATTTTTGAAATCGAATATTTTATTTTATAGGTAGCAATGGGTAATGTAAGAAGTGTACAAGAATTTTGATTAAACTAAAGTTTTTATTGAATACCAATCATATAACTTAATCTCAAACGACAACACAAATATATTAGATAAATTAGGTTAGTTAGATTTATAACAAAATAAAGAGATCTTTTTCCTTAACAGAATGCTCTTTTATTTTACTTATTTGACTTTTAATGAAAATGAGATCTCATAAACGACAACGCGTTTAGTGTTTTATCGCTTAATGAACTTCTTAATTTACTACATAGATAACCAGCTGAAGAAAAAGCACGTTCAGCTTCAACACTTGTTGGTGTAATTGATAGTAAATAATTATAAGCTGCTGTTAGGTACTCCACGACCACCGCCAGCAGTATCATAGATGCACATTTTCACTCTAACAATGGACTCAAGATCTGTGTTAACCGTAGATTTGTTTACCTGTGACGTGGCTTTACATATTATCTCTTTTTCTAATTCCTGGGCTACAGTTAACTCTTCGTCACTGGAATCAGTATGTCCTGTGCTTATTTGTTGTATTGGACTTTGACTTGTCTGTGCAGACGTTGTGTTAGCTGTTAATTTCAGCCTTTCTAATAATCTTGTAATATATGTCCTTATATAATCTGACGTCGGTTTTGTGAAGGTTTCTGTTGATATGGTTTCGTAAAATTGTTCATTGTTATGCAAATACTGTAAAATACCAGATACACTCGTTTGTCTCTCTTTTATTCTTTTTCTAAGGGAAATAGCAAGCCTTTTACTGAGTTCGTTGTGCTGATGATCAAGTTTATTTAACATAAACTGAAGAGCAGCATCTGCCGTCAATAGGTTTGAATCCCGGCGACACAAAGACATCACAGTTTTTTTTATAACATCTAAAGTATGATGAATATCGTGCAGGTCTTGGATTTCTTTTTCTGTAAAATTTATATTTGATTTCAAATCCAGTAATGCTTTCATGACACTTGATTTTAATTTTAAAAATCGGCCAATCATATCCGACAAGCTGTTCCACTTAGTCTTGCAGTCGAGCATAAGATCCAGGCCCTTTCCACATTATTCTACAGAGTATTTATGCAACAAGTCATTTTTCAAGGGTGACTTTTTAAAAGATTTAACTAAATCTCGTACTTTTTTTATAGTATCTTTGTACAGAAATTCAGATTCTGGAATTCTTGGTACTTAGATATCAAATCCTCCATAGTTTTCTTCAGAATCTTCAGAGTCGTAATGCATGCAATGCGTTGACTGGTTCTTTGACTTATATAGCACATCGAGAACCGCAAGTTGTATGTCGTGGGCGAAACACAATTGATGGTGGCCGTCAAATTTTTGCCCATTTTAACCATTACGCTGGCTCCGTCTGTTGTGAAAGCAACTATGTCTTCGAGGCTAAGTCCGAAGTTGCTCAAATGTTGTTGTATTAGCTGAGTTCCTACATCTGCTGGCATTGAACCTTTTATTCTCACCAGACCCAAATTTTTGTAATTAGCTGGTTCGAGATCTTTACTGTGGATATTTATATTCATATATCTTTTATTTCGGGTACAGGTCCACTCATCAAATGTCATTGTAAATCTTTTGTTTTGGGACTTCATTTCCTTTAAAAGACGTATCAGTGCGTTTTTTGTATTATCATGTAGCTCTAAAACTATCCTGGTTATAGTTGTTGGCGATTTCGGTAGATCGTAGCCGGATTTTTTGAAAACATGCCTTAGGTCTTCAGAAGTACAAAATTTGCTCAACGGGATACCATCCGATGCTGCCATTCTAGTCACTCTTAACTCCATGGAAGAGTCGCTTACATAATAATCCGTGAGTTTAGTTTTCTTTTGGGGTGCTTCATATGGGGCCTTGAATTTATTCTCTATGTGGAAATACCCCCTCGTTTTGTTTCAATGTTGGCTCCTGGGTTATCATGTCATACTGTTTAAAATAGAGGATGTTGTATGTAATAAGTCGCTAAATTGATTTATATATTATTATTATTTATTATTAATACCCTTCACCTAGCAGTAGTGGGTAGAAATAGGCTGATATGATGATGATGATAATCAGGACTTATACTTACGTAATTACGGATTTCAACCCTTCAGTTACGGACTTGTCAGAAGTTTAATTTTTTTGCGTAATTACGTAACTGCGTAATTACGTAATTACGGAATGGAAGCCCTACTTATGACATAAACATTCTCAATTTTACAATTATTTATGTTTGCATAACATATGAATAATATTTTCAATAAACAATTCTGCCTGGAGTACCAGTTATAGCCTTCTAAAAACTAACGTCACACGTGTTTATTTTGCAAGTGTAGTTAATGCGGGACACTAACAGACGTATCTTAGTCAGTAGTTGTCAGATGAGTAGTTTGTAGGTATGTGATTACATAATACTTAAGGCACTGGGTAATGTTTTTGTAGTGCAGTATTAGCGTTTCCTTATGCCGTCATGTACATAAATGGGGTGATAGTGTGATATTATGTGTTTATTATGCGAGATTGTATGATGGACTCTTTCCATGATTCGGTGGGAAGTGTAGTGTGGTCAGGTTTGTTACGGTGCAGCATAAAAAGTTCTACTACGCCTTCACTGTACGACAATAGTTTGTCTGTATGTGAATGTGTGGAATGTCAAGGTGTGTGTTGTTTGTTGAAATTGACCGCGGGTTGTTGAGGTGTTGTGTGATATATCGAGATGTCGTGTGAAGTGTTCGAGACATAGTCTGATATATCGAGACGGGGGTGTAGTATGTCGAAGTATTGGTGTAGTATCGAGGTAGAGTGCAGTGGAGGTGGGGTGTGATGTGTTGAAGTGGGGTGCTATGTGTTGAAGCGGGATGTGATGTGTTGAAGCGGGATGTGATGTGTTGAAGCGGGATGTGATGCGTTGAAGCGGGATGTGATGTATTAAAGTGGGATGTGATGTGTTGAAGCGAAATGTGATGTGTCGATGTGAGGTGTGAGAGGTGGTGTAATGTGAAGTGTGGTGTAATGTGAAGCGTGGTGTAATGTGAAGCGTGGTGTGATGCAGTGTCCACATAGGGAGTGATGTGTCGAAGTAGAGTGTAATGTGCCGAGGCGGTGTGATGTGTCGAGACAGAGTATGATATGTCTTGGTGGAGGCGTAGTGTAGTGTGGGGCGACAATTGGAGTGTGTGTGGAAGCGGTGTGTAGGCGGTGTGTAGTGTGTTGTGAGGCGGCGACGTAGAGTGCGGCGCGCGGTGTGGTACGGCGTGCGAAGCGGCGGCGGTGGCGGCGTGTGCGCGTGTGTGTGCGTGCGCGTGTACCTCAGGAAGGCGCAGCTCCAGCCGGCCGGCGCGGCGGCCGCCTCGTGGCGCGCCAGCGCGGCGCCGGCGCCCCGCGCCCACGCCGACAGGTAGCCGGCGCGCAGCGCGCCAGAGTTAGACGCGGATATCAACGTCTGCGCACGCACAAGTAAAACCTACGTGCTACAGTCGTGCTGCAGCTACATTACGGTTGCAGCACGAATGGCCTCCCTTTCGTGCCGCAACCATATAATCGAACCCAGTAATGTGTTTAGTGGAGCGTTTAACATTTACGCACATAGTCGTAAGTACATCAGACATAATATACATTATTTTTAGGAGGATATTTACTATAGTTACCAAGCTTGGTAAGTAGGTTGGCAATATAAATAGCGAACGACCGTGATTAATAATTATTGAATTATTATCAGGAAGATGCTGATACTCTGATGATTCAAACATGGTAGAGCCACGCTGCAGCTATATTATGATTGTAGCACGAATGGGCCAACTCAACCAGGGAAGGATCGCGCTCACACAGAATACCGGCATAAAATAGCAGCTTAAAACTGCTGCAACACACATTGTATACTGAGTATAGAATACCAGGGAAGCTATTTACTGGAAACAAAGCTTTCCATCTTAGTCATCAGGGGTGACAATGATAATGCATCTGCATTTTGATTTCTAATCGAGAATTCATGTGAATGTCTATGGGCCACACCAACTTACCATCAAGTGAACTGTGTGCTCATTTGTCACCCTTATTCTATAAAAAAATAACTCATCTCCTATTTCAATTTCCCTCTGTCACCCTTACGATATCCACGAGAATATTCTTACGAAGTCACTACACAGCACAGGCAAAAATTTAAAAAAATGAAGCCTTAGAAAATGAATGGAGACTAGCCATCTGCACATAACATAGTTATAGTGCACGAGTGTGTGTGCAAGCACAGGGGCACTCTCCATTACCTCACTCTCATAGTCCGATGGAATGGCAATTCAACACTATTTCAGACTGTTACTGAAAATTTCTAGATGGAAAAACCCAAGAACTGCTTTTGGTCGGACCTGGTACTAGAACTCACATGATTAGAAAGTATATGTGAGGTATCTATGGCGGACCCCTATGTACAGTAAACTCTTAGTAGGTTGTACTGTAAATGCCTACAGCAGAATTAAACAGGATGAAGAACAAAATAGAAAGGTATAACAAAATATCTCACCTGCAACTGTATAAACATCTCTTGAACCGGTGTCACTGCACTTGCTTGCAACTCATTTAAATACTTTAACTTGGCTTCAATCAGGTCTGTCATATCACTCAATTCGTCATCTGCCTTCTCCTCATTTAATGTCTCCCCTTTAGTGAATGTTAACCCATTGCCATAACTTATGGTGTTCTTTGGACTATCACTACCATTTTCTTCTTTACTGAAACCTAAGCCAGTCCTCTCCGTAGAGAAACCTTCAATAAACTGGGAATATTTTGTTGTGTACGCAGGTGTAGTCTTGTTCTCAACAGTCTTCCTTTCTGGCAGCACCGAATTGGAAATCCTCAGCTTCTTTCTGTTCACGTTTTCTATAGGTTCATTTGCATCCATTAAATACATATTTTCCTTTTTTTCTGGTACTTTCGGTTGCGGACTTTCCGGTTTCACATCGGAAGGTTCTTCAACATTCACCGCACTGGGGAACAATGCGGGTGTAGCTAGTACAGCAATGTTTTTACTACTCGGAAACAGAGATTTCAGTTCTTCTAACGGAGGTGTTCTACTACCATCACTTCTTGGGGAGTTACTTGCACTAACTATGTCTGATTTTGAATCTTTACTATCAGTGTTTGTTTTAGATTTAACTTTGGGAAACTCTTTCTCTTCTATTTCTTGTAACAAATCATCTATGTCCAGGTTTGTGGCTTTGTTTGTATCTGTTGATTTAGGTGAGGCTGTTATTGATGTTGTTTCATCGTTGATCATTTGTTGTAATTCTGAGGGTAGTTCGCCACCAAGTTTTTCTAATAGTCTAGCTTTGTCCTTCAATTTTTTAAGTAATATATTTTCATCCTGGCTATCTTCATTATCGTTAGACAATGATGGTTTCTTTTCCTGTAATATATTGTGAAAACGTCATCTTATTGCATTTAATATTGTTTATTTGATTACATTAAGTAAGTATCAGACTTCAGATTGAAAACTTTAGCCATCATAGTGCTTGATAACATTTACAATTTTACTGGAATATACTGACGCTTCTTAAACTTATGACATATTTTGTTTCTCTTATACAAAATATGCCAAAAGTGAAAGAGACAAAGTATTATAATTTATAACCATGTGAAAACAGCTACTTTAACAGCAGATTATTTTCAAATGGTTTATGATAATATATATTAAACACAAAATGAAAGACAAAAATTAATAAAGATAAACATAATTACAAAAAAAATTAAGAACATAATATTTCCAGCAAAATTGTTATGCTATTCTTTGCGCATCTTTCAGGAGCGCTATCTCATCATAGGTCTGAAAACTGTTACCTTTTAATATTCAATACTGGCAATGACAGGAAGAATATGAATAATAATACAGTGGAATCACGATCTCCTAAATATGCAGTATTTAGGAGATCGAACAAAATGCGTAATGCGTAGTACATATTTATACTCTATAAATCGAATTTCAAAAAGCAGACTATGTAAGTCCAAGTTGGAATTCCCCGAACTCGTAACAATAAAATCCAAAAGGAATGTTTGTTGCTTTTGTTATATTGTTTGAATTTACTGCGTAGTTTAGTTATTTATGTTCGGGAAAAATGCTCGAAATTCTTGTTAAGTCGAAAATTCATTTAATCGATTTTTTTAGCATTTCCCTTGAAATTCGATTTATCAAGATTGTACTGAAATAAGTTTAGCTAATAATGAATATGCTAATTTAGAGAATTAAGAATTTGTTCAGTTTGGGTTGATATTTTAACTAATAGATAATACCTAAAAATTTGCAATCCATAAAAATAGTTTTATTTAATATGTAGCATACAGCATATAGCAATACTTTTTTAAGCTTTATAATTTACCTTTTTTTTTTAAGTTCTTAAACTTACCTCTTTTTCTACTACTACTACTGTATCCATCTTTTTTTTCTCTGGCGACTTAGGAACCGTTTCATTTTTCATATTCGGTGGAAGCTCAGGTCCAATTGGCACCGTGTAGTTCATGTTCGGAGGCATAGTTGGGCCATACTCAACCACTTGTGGTTTAGTTTTCAATTTTTTGTGTGGATTCTTTAGAACTTTCGCAGGAGCTTTTGTTACTTTCGGTTGAGGTTGGACCGTAACAGGAGTCTCTGCTTCGTCGTTCGATTCAGAGTCTGAGTTGTGGTAGGAGGTAATTAACTCAATTTTTCTGTAAATTTAAAAAGTATTACAACTGATTATCTTCCGAGCGTGTCAAGTAGATAACTACTAACAATGAAATGTTCCACGTGAATCTACAACTGACTAATAAATCAACTACAGTTTTCGACTAAATATTACACAGCAAAGTTAATAAATATATTATCATTTTTATTTTTCTATTATTTTTTCTTCAGGACAACAAACAATAAAATAATGCTTAAACCAAATAACAATTTATAAATAATATTAGTCATTATGTAACCAGCACCGTTATCCACAAAGTAATATTAAATTGGTAACAATAAATAATAAATGCACAGTAAACAGAGTTTGAGTTGAAGTGAAAAAGAGAAAACAAAGTTGACAATACTCAGCAACGAAATAAATCAAAATGAGACAAAAGGAAAAAAAAGCTAACAATAACAAATTTATCTTGTGAAATATTTTGAAATACTACTGAATACTGAAATGTCTAACAACTTCTAGAACGTTCTTGCGAAATTGTAATAAAGTGAATAGGTCAATATTTGAAAAATACATGTTATATACTTTCATAATGCAACTTAATGGAGCGCGTTCACCTGCATTAGTCTTGCATAATTTAGGCGCAAACAATTTATGTGTCTACAGTTCGTACGGATAAAGATTGGGAATAGAAATGGCGGCTCATCGAGCCCGTACCATCAACATGCACAATACCAATAGCGTAAACCCGCTACCGCTAATAACGGTATTTCGTTATAGTGTTAAATTATTCGGTTAATTGGAAATTTTCTATTAATAGAAAAATATTTATTTTACTAGCTGTTCCCCGCGACTTCGCCCGTGTGGAATTTATTACGATTAGTTTTAATGGGTTTTAATTCTGTTTTGCTCGGAACCCTAATTCCTTTTCTAAAATAAAGGTAGCCTAAGTCACTCCTTATAACATTAGCCATCTGCCAGTGAAAGTCCCGTCCCGGATAGGTTTCGCACTCTGATTCTGTACTCTGATAGCCATCATAGCCCTAATGTACAAACACTGGTGAAGGGACTATAGCACCGCCCAAATTTCGACGGAATCAAAGGCTTTCTCATAGTCCACATACGCAAAGTGGCAGATTGTACTTTTCGGTCTTCTGTACAATTTGCCGAAGGGTATGTATGTGGTCTATGGTGCTAAAGCCCTTTCGGAAGCCGGTTTGTTCGGGAGGCTGGAAGTCGTCGAGTCTGCGTGCGAGACGATTCGTAATGACTCTCGAAAACAGCAAGTAGACGCGGCTCAAAAGGAAAATCGGTCTTTAGTTATTCAAGAGAGCGTTGTCGCCTTTCTTAAAGAACAAAACCACCGCACTTCTGCTCCACGCCTCCCGAGTAGTGCGACCATGGAGGAAGGAATTAAAGAGCTCCTGAAGGACTTCAAGTACCAGCTTTCCACCCGCTTTCAGAAGCTCCGCTGTAATTCTGGGGCTCACGTCCAGGGACTTGCCGTTTTTATGGTGCAGGAGAGCCATTCTAATCTCGCTCAGACTGACGTCCGGGATATCATCGGAATAGTGTTGAATAAAACTTGCTCTTGGATCGTTACTCACACTTGCGTGTGGCTCCAACGATGATGTGTACAGCTTCCCATAGAACCTCTCAATCTCACTGAAAATCTTAGGTGTCCCGGAAACGATGCTACTACACTCTGTCTTCAATTTTGTCAGTTGGCTCTTTCTGGCAGACTGATCTCTGGCAAAGATTTTGGAGCCTTGGTTCCGCTCCATCGCATCTTCAATGCAAGCTGTATTGAAGTTGCGTAAGTCCTGCTGCATGCATTTGGAGACTTTTCTGTTCAGTTGCCTGTATGTTGTTAAATCTATTTAAGACTGCAGCCTCATTTCCCGTTTAACAGCCATGAGATTAAGAGTGTGATCGGAGTTTTTGTGTTCTTCGGCGGGTCTTGCAGAACTTAGCTCCGACCGCATGGACAGTTTCCATGAGCTTGTCATTCATATCGTCCACTGCATTGCAGTCTTCTAGGCACTGAAAACGGTTTGTGTTTCGGGACTTTGGATTAGAGCACGAGGGGGACAGAGCCTTGACTTCATTAGACGAGACCTCTCCAATTATCTTATCATTCCATTTATTTTATCTTATCAATATTTCTATTTTAAGAAAATGTCTAAATTTTTCGGATAAAATTTAGTCTAGATCACTACTGGTATTACTCCATTTGTTTGTGAAGTTTTATTACAATCGGTTCAGCCATTTCGAAGATTAGATTGGACACACAGACAAACTTTACTCACGTCTCAATGGCATGTAGTTATTTTATACAAAAATATTATTAGTAATACTGAATGACTGAGTGATTTTTTTTGTAGTTTATGACATTTTATTGATTCCAAAGACAAGTTGGACTGAAGTTATATAACGTATGAGAAACGCATATCGCAACGTATTTCTTTTGCAGTCTTTACCGGCGGGTGTGAGTATAGATAGCCACAGTGTGCGAGCTAAAGGTGAATAGAGGCGACGCCATTTTCAATCCCATTCTTTAACCCATGAAGCAAATACAAAGAGGAGACTGCATAAGCAACTGTGCACTGTGATTCCGAGTAGGTCCTGACGTCATCATAGTGGGCGTGGCTTTAGTTAGTATACTGTTAGCATTCGTCCTGTGCGCTTATGTGTTAAAAATCGCAAATCGATGTATTTTCATAGTATTAAGAAAAGGATGAAGTGTTGTATTTTATCGTGTAAGAATTACTCAGTTAGACGCTCTGATGCTATGGATGGCATCACATTATATTTGTAAGTAATTTTACACCTAATTTATTAAAATAGTTCTAGAAAAATCTCTTTAGATATGATAAGAATATAGAACGACGAGTGAACGCAGGAAATAGAGTGAATGGGGCTCTACACGCTATTATGAGGAGTCAAAATGTGTCAACTAAGGCACGTATGGCAATTCATAATGCTGTGTTAGTCCCTATTTTAATGTATGGTAGTGAAAGTTGGGTCTGGCAGAAGAAGCATGAGAGTAGAATAAATGCTGTAGAAATGCGTTCCTTAAGGAGTATGCTAGGGCTGAATCTGAATGACAGGGTGAAAAATAGTGTGATAAGAGAAAAGTGTGGTTTGCAAGATGACGTTGTGACAAGGATTAAGAAAGGAATGCTTCGGTGGTTTGGTCATGTAGAAAGAATGAACGAGGAAAGAGTGACTAAGCAAATTTATGTTGCAGAAGTGAACGGCAGGGTCGGGAAGGGACGCCCTAGACGAAGGTTTATCGACCAAATCGGCGATACATTAAAAATGGGCCAGATTAGGAGTACCCTTAACCGACGAGCGTGTATGCGTAGATATATGGATGTAAAAGAGGCGAGAGAGGTCTGTCAGGATCGCGCCAAATGGAAGTCTGTAGTCTCTGCCTACCCCTCTGGGTGACAGGCGTGAGTGTTTTATGTTATGTTTAAAAATCTCTTTGGGTCGGCTTTCAAATATAATTAAATATATTCGACACTAGATGGCGACACTTTGTGTCATGTGAACTAAAAATATAAAGGTACATAGATATCTGTATTGGTAAAATAATCATACGACGGCGCTGAAACTTGTTTTGCATTCAGTCATAAAGAATTTTTAATCGCCAAAATATTATTTTATAATCATTTTGTACAGGCCGCCATCTATCGTCAAGGTAGGTAAACTACATGGCAACATCGATATGCAACGATTCCAGAAGTTCTACTATTTATCGGTAGGTGTAGATAGTAAAATGGGCGGGGCTTAACATCCCCCCACCCCGCAAATTGTCACGCGTTGTTACACAGTGAAATCTAATTAGTATACCTTTTTGTATGTGCTTCATGCTTTAAATGTGGTTAAAGTAGTACATATCTCTAAAGTGTTGAGAACGACTAGGGACACGGAGATATATTTTGTTACAATCATTTCGAATTATTTTGAAAAATAAAATATTATTTGATCAAAGTATATTCTTCTTGCTTTTAAAGTATGAATTGAAAACTTTTTTAATAAGTTGCGATACAATGATTTAGTGTGGTAACATTTATAATTTATAAAACAAAGACTTTGCTTGGGAAAGAGAACCGGACACCCTTTTTACTGGAAAAGAGGCATTCCATCTTAGGCCTCACGGGTGACAACGCATCTGCATTTTGATTCGCAAACGAGGATAGGTGCTGTGTGCTTGTTTATCACCCAAACCTATAAAAAAAAACTAAAAACAGCAGCGTTAAGCAGCTATTTTACGCTGGTATTCTGTGAGAGCGCAGTTTTTTCCCAATCGAGCCTCCCATTTGTGCTACAACTATATCAGTAATATAGTTGCAGCAAGCTCTACCAAGTAAAACATGAATGTACGAAAGACATTTTTTACTGATAATGAGACATTCTGTCTTAGGCTTCCGGCGTTTGCAACATAGACATGCCGTGTCTAAAGAAGTTGTTAAAACTTGACACACTTCATCAATAAATGCGTAAAAGTGTACACATTAAAACCATAGTGTAATCCCAGTGTGTACATAATTTTTATTCTTGGTTCACACACATATCTGTGGCTATCAGGTGGAATATGTGCTTGTATGTTAGCCGTAATTGAATAAAAAATCACAATTTAGCTTTGCTTCAATAGGGTAAGATAAGGTATTTTTTCCACAAAGCTTTATTTAAGTAGTTCTGTTGTTTTTCAAAATAATAAATAAAACTAAGTACTCACTCTTCGTCATCATCACTCACAGGCCTCTTTTTTTTACCCTTAGACTTTTTATCTTTCACTAAAACACTAGGTTTGTCAGGTTTTTTAGAAGACTTGGCAATTGCCGCTTTGGCTATCACTTTGTTCTGTGAATTCTGTTTTTCTGCTAGTGCCTGCTGGTACAACTGCCATTCCTCAGCTGATACTTCTGTTGAACCTAGAAAATTATTGATTATATTATCATACAGATTGTATATATAATCCCACCAGAAACAAAGAGAAGAGGGTACAGGCAGATTTTTATTAGTATAATAAAATGGGCCCATGACAATGGCATTATACTATATATCCAAGACAAAGTGTATACTTATACACTCTCCATATATGAGAAAACCTAGTGAAGAAATTAACATCTTTAATAATTTGTACAAGTGCTTACATAATAAATTAGAACAATGCAAATGTAAAACCATACAATTTATAAATAAATACAAGTACTTAGGCTTAACAATAGATTGTAATTTTAGTTGGCAACTGCATATTGACATTATCTGTGATAGATTAAGATCCATATTATCTAGGCTTAATAACTTTAAACTTATAGTAAGGAGGTCAATCTTATATATGCTTTACTATACACTAGCCGATTCAGCTCTAAATTAGAAATAATAGTATTAATTATTAATAAGTTTAAATATAATCAGGTATGTAAATAACACAGCCAAGTCTATTTTAAGTTTTAAATCTAAGATTAAGATATTGATTACAGTGAGTCCATAGTATGTAAGTGGGTGGTGTATTCGACAACAAACTGCCCTACAGTTATAAAACATTGAACAAAAAAATTCTATACAAGCAGTGTTCAGGGTTGTCAGTTTCAAGCGCCAAGCTTCATAGCAGTTCTTAAACCATTGTATGGGTGAATATACGGTATTTGATTTTTTTGTGTCCCTGAAGGAAATGTAGTCTGTTTAATTCAACATTAATAATATCACTATTTGACACTATTTGTGCATTTGTAATGATACGGGCCAGAAGATTTTCCATTTTTTTGAATTTTATAAGCACCAGGGGAAAATGTGTTATCAGGGGAGTGACACTATTGGCAGAGTAGTGACAAATTAATGCAGGATAGTAAACAATCCATTAATTATTATCTAAGAAAGGGGAATAATATTGAATAAAACACATATAAATTATAGTCTAGATATTTTTTAATATATTAGATAACAGTTTTTTCAGCTTCTTTCAACAAATAAATTTTTAATATTAATGGTTTGTTAATGCTAAAGTTTCAATTGCCCGAATCAAATAATGAAATTAATGTTTTCTACTTATCAGTCTCATCTGAGATTTAAAGTAATTATCTAATATAAAAATTACAGCACATGGTATTTGACAATTTTAATTATAAAATGTTCAAAAACTTAAAGCAATGTTTTAGGTGTATCTAAATAAAACTTCTAAATTAAACAAAAAAATAAACTTTGCAACAAAAAAATAATAGTACTATCTAGTGAAACACCTATCACTATCGAGGATATCTAAACAAATAAACTTAAAAATTATCAGTGCACAGTATAAATGAAAACTTTCATTTATTGCAAAGAAGATAATTTAGACTAAATTAATATATTTTACTTTAATACAAAACAATCAAAAATTTACTTTTCAAATACATTAACTGGCTCTGGAAACTTGTAGAATAATCTGTTACCTTTCATAAGTATATTTGGCACTGGTAGTATGGTCAAGATCCGTTCCCATTTAACATCAGACAGATATTCTAAAAAGAGTACCATCTTATTGGACATCTTTAGGAAAGTAACCCTGAGCTATCCTTCTTCTTCATCATAATCTGACAAACGTGCGCCTATATTTTTTATTATTCCACAAGTATAAATTTACGGTTCTTGACAATCATACGCTCTACCATGTTTTATACATGGTAGAGCCATGCTGCAGCTATATTAGTAGTATAGTTATAGCACAAATGGGTCGGCTCGACCGGGGAAAGACCACGCTCTCACAGAATACCAGCGTAAAACAGTGGAACCCTATCATATTAAAAAAAAATCATAGCCGTGTCTTTATTGTCTATAGTATTAATCGGATTAGTAGATGTTTCTGGAATCATTTTGTTTTGCACAATTTCCTCAGAATCGGTGTATACTGCAGCAACATGCAATTTGGTTTTATCATTTTGGGTGTATTTAATGTCGTCTAAATGGAAGTGAGGGCAAAAGTTGCTACCAAAGCAGCTGAAGCTCTTGATGTACTACATACTGCTCATAAAGATTCCTCGGACTTCATGTACTTTTATTGTACCAGCAAAAGGTTTAATGTTCGGTCAATTATCTTTAATTATCTTCCTTCGTAAATCAATTTCTTTTTCGTGTATACAAAAATATGAATGCTGGGGCAATTTTTTTCTAATTCCTTAACAAAGTCTTGTATGTATGTGTATGTGTATGTTAGTTCCTAAAGCGACTACTTTGTCAGGGGTTCGTTTACATGTCTCTCCGATATCACTTGGAGCTCCTTCTTCTGTTTTTCGATGCGCCTTAGTTTGTTTTGTTACTAATGTAGTTTTTGTTTTTTTATAACTTTATTTTGTACTTAATGCTGACTTTCTGATCGTCTTTTAGCAGCCAGAGCCAAATTGCTTTGTAAAACTGGAGGTTGGTTTTCATTATCAGATGACGGTGGTGTTACTTTATAGTTTCTGGTAGAGTGTAACTTTATAGTCTTCTCTCTCCGTATTTTTCTAACAGCTCTTTGTTCCCTTTCAATCATGTCATTAATGCTCTTAGTTTGACCCTTTTCCTTTTTTTATTAACCGGATCGTTTTAATTATTTGGTAGCGTAATTTATCATCTTGATTCTCATCTCCCTTGTTTGCTTCTTTTTAACATTCGCCATGATATCATGGTACATAGAACAAATAAATTGAAGCGTTATAAGATTAAATATTAACGAAACAAAATTTCATCACTTCCCTGGGACGGCTGTATTTCCCCTGATATGAAATATGCCAGAGAAGTGACAAAATCACACACAACCTACAAAAACAACATCACTTGTTTTTCTAACCACAGTTTAACGTAATACATGACATCTACACAAAATAAACATTGCACTGTGCAAATTTACAATTTCGTAACAACAAAATACAAAAACGTATACTTACCAAGGGAAATACTCCAACGACTGGCACAAACACGCTTTCTTACAGTGAATCCAAAACTGACGCAATATTATTTGAGTTTTGCTCATCACCGTTAGCTTACTTCGAACTTCACACTGTACTACGCTTGTAGTTCAAGCTCAAAAACATACTTTAGCGGTTTTATGTAAAATTTTTAGTCTTTCAGTTTCGCCAGGTGAGGTGACATAATTGTAACGGCACGTGAAAATAAGATATTTTTTTTATATTAATAAATATTTTTACAATGTATTTTCATAAAATATGTTTCGATGTTTATTTAGGCGTATGATCATGTTAAAAGAAAACATACTGGCTTAAGTATATAATACATATGGCCATAAAATTATACAATCTAGAAATGAGGGAGGCCAGGGGACTATACATTTATAACTATTTTAAGCTATTAATGCCTTAAATTAAACAATTATTGTGAATTGACTGTGTGGGCCAAATATTAGACGATATTCTTTATTGCTTAAGCATACAGTAACAATAATATATTATGTTTAACATAAAATTTGTCTATGGACCATTGGAATTCAAATAGCGTATACTCACCCGTATATTAATCCTATGGTTTAAGTAATTGCTATGAAGGCTGGTGCCTATTCTGATCTCAACAATTTTATTGGCAAATTCTACAATTGAGGTTTGTATCGAACATGATTGTATCGAACTAGGCCTCCTTTTAACATTTATATTTTAGCTAGGATATCAATAATTTAAAACAAAAGTTTTATCCTTCCAGTAATCTAAATAAATATTTGACTTTCATGTCAAATAATTTTTTATATTTGACTCTCATCATTTGACTTCTACATTTAATGTAAACTATAAGAATTAAATGTCCACAAAGTTATTGGTGTGGTTAGTTACAAGTACCGTGCTTCGAAATTACCATACACAACAAATATTTAATTTGTAGTGTTCAGACTTTTTGTTGACCAAAAAACATTGCATAATAACTGAACATTAAGCAGATACTGTTAGTTACAGTAAGAAAGTTACCGAAACTATCATGTTTTGGAGCCATCCCCGTGTTGTCCAGACCTGCGCTCAGCCTTACTTCAGCTGTTGACATGGAACATGTGTTGTTGCCTTGGTACATGATTATGCAACAAATCTGAAGCCTACAATTATGACTATTTTGGAGTTTTGACAGTCTAAATATAGTGGGATAATTCTTAGAGCACTGAGAATTATCCTACCATTAGTAATTTAGTTCTCTGAATGTCATTAAGATGCAAAGAGTGTCTAAGAATAGATAATTAGTTGGCACAAAAAAGTGAGGGTGAAGTTTTAAATCAAGCTACGCATTATCGACTTTTTAAAGTAGCCTTTTTGTCAGTTGGATCCTTTTTTGTAGCTCTAAGGGTCCGTTCACACAGACCGGCTCGGAGAGGAGAGCAGATTTTTATCACGTTGGAAACAGTGTTTTGAGTGATTGTAGTAAAGTTTATTTTTGCATTTGCACCTTTTTTGTCATTAAAAATGCCTGAACGCGCTTCGTGTGAAGTAATAAAAGGAGCCGACCGGCTCCGCTTGCGTGCTCTTTCTCACTCGCGCAGCCGATCGGCTCTGATTGCGTGCTCTTTCTCGCTTGCGCAGCCTGTCGGCTCCGATTGCGTGCTCTTTCTCGCTCGCGCAGCCGATGGGCTCCGATTGCGTGCTCTTTCTCTATCGCGTAGCCGATCGGCTCCGATTGCGTGCCCGCTGCGGCCGCGCCGACCGCCATTTTGATAGCAACATTTGAACGTAATAGTTGTGCGTACTTGTACGAAAAGATGAATGATGAAAAATTAATAATACTCGTGTCAAAATATGAGTGTTTATTTGACATAACCAAGCCATCATATAGCGATCGGATAATGAAAGACAATGCATGGGAGGAAATTAGCAAATGTCTCGGAATAAGTGGTAAGTAAGGTTTTCATTGTTTTACACCTACCCCCAGATACTCAAACGAATTTTAAAGCAAGGGCTTCTTAAACTCGTGCTGCGACGTGTTAGATTCAAAGTCAAAATAGGAATAACATGAGTTTAAATGCGCCCTTACTTTAAAAACTCGTTTGAGTATCTGATCGTTAGAATATACTTATGTAGTAGACAATTTTTATTAAATATAACTTAAGAAACTCGCGTAGCCACTTGATCTTGCCAATCTAAAGCACCACTTGATGAAAAATAATCCTTAAATTTATTCCTTGTGGTTAGAACTGCGTCGCTATTAGAACTGTTTTCATTATTATTGTCTGTTATTGCTGTTAATAAATTTATATTGCTGTGAAATTCATTCTCTTGTCCTGGCGTCCGATTTTCTATTAAAAAATTATGTAAACATGTAGTTGCTAATATAATTAAATCACAGTACTTCGGCTGAATTTTCATTCGTTTTTGATAAATTTCAAATCTTTGAGTTAGCATTCCAAATGCACATTCTACGACTTTTCTTGCCCTGCTTAAACGCAGATTAAATACTTTTTTTGATAATTCTGTTCTTGCTTGTTCTCTTGGATACGGCCGCAATATATTATTGCTCAAAGGAAATGCCTCGTCTCCTATAAAAACATGTGGTAAGCTTTCAGTGGTACTAGGTAGAGGTTTATTTGGGGGCAGCTTTAACTTATTGGTGTTGAGTTTTTTCCAAAATTTTGAATTCTGTAAAATTCCGCCGTCGCTATTTTTACCATATGATCCGACATCAACAATTAAAAAACTGTATTTCGCGTCGACCACAGCTAGTAACACTGTACTGAAAAAGTTTTTATAATTATAGTATAAGCTTCCACTATTATCTGGTGCCTGTATATTGACATGCTTTCCGTCTATAGCGCCCAAACAGTTAGGAAAATTCCAAATATTAAAGAAATCACGTGAAACCTTTTCCCACATTTCTTCATCTGGCATCTGCATAACTATGGGCATCAAAACATCACAAATTACTCTGATTGTCTCATGAATAATTGAATGAACTGTAGAAATTCCCATTCGAAAATTAAATGACAAGTTTTTGAAACTGCAACCAGTGATGAGGAATCTGTAAAAATAAAACAAACACACAAAATAGAAATATAAGACTGCCGTACCAAAACGAACTATAAAATAAAAAAGAGTTATGTTATTAATTTTTCATTTCTGTTCTTTCCAGTGACGCAGTGCCAGGATCGTTGGAAGAAACTGCGAGATAACTTCAGAAAAGCCTATTATAACCGAAAAGGCAAGAGTGGCGATGGTGCAACTACGTCCAAATTGATAAAATTTGAAAAAGAACTTTCTTTTATAATACCATTTTTTCGCAATCGAAACCAAATATCTAATGTAACATTATCATCGGATGATTCAGAGCCTGGCACACCAATACCACCACCATCGACATCATCTAAACGTTCTGACCATTCTGAAGTTGAATCGCTTGCAAGTACTTCTGGCTCGAAAAAGAGACCACGCTTAAGCAAAGATGTTGCTACGGTTTTCGAAGAGTATCTTGAAGAAAAAAGAAATACTACACCCCGTGACAAGGCATTACGTAATTTTTTTTTGTCTATGTCAGATACAGTGGAAACATTCCCAAAAGAAGTCCAAGCACGAATTAAAAGGCGCGTGTTTAACATTGTTAATGAAGCTGAATTAAGTCTGTATGAAAATAGTACAGATTTGAATTATTCTTTGTCTATAAATTCACCGCCATCGACTAATCAATCTACTTACCTAGTGTCAAACGAAACCTATATTCCTCAAAACTATCCAGATCAGACTACTTACGGGTACAATACCAGCACACAAAATACAAAATAATAAACAATCAAAAACAATAATAATTATAATAATAATAATTAAACACACACAAATCTGTACTATTTAATTACATTTCATTAACGTAAATAATGCTTAATAAATGGAGGGCTGTGATTTTGTGATCTATTTAGATGTTTGTGTTATTTAACATGATTAGTATAAGTAATTTACATTTCATTAACGTAAACAATGCTTAATAAATGGAGGGCTGTGATTTTGTGATCTAAATAACATGATTAGTATAAATAATTGTTTTTTATTTACCTTAAAGTTACCGTTAATCTTTCTTCGGCTGTAATGGTGCAACGATAATTTGTAGTCTTTTTTGTTATATGTACTCTTAACAAATCTGTCAATTTCAAAAATTGCCAATATTCCATACGATAATACTCATAAAATTTTAGGCTATCTCTCTTCAATTCCTCGAAAATGGTGTGAAACTCCCCATGGATTAGTCTGTTTTTCCAAATATGTTTTACCCATATTTGTTTCCGCTTGCGCTTACGTTTCCTATGTTCTATTTCAAGTAATCTTGCTAACAAATATATTTCTTCGTCGGAGCTATCTAAATCCATGTTTCGAAAAGCACACGTTAACACACCGAAAACAAAACTTAGACTGCGCGGAATACTGGCACTGCCTTTGTAGTGTATCCACCCGACTCCGAGCGCATCCGACCGGCTCCGAGCACATCCAACCGCACCCGCTTTCAGATCTCTTCCAGCCGGTCGATGTGAAATAGTTGGCGGCTCCGCTCCGGCCAATTCCAAGCGTATACGACCCGGTCTGTGTGAAAAGAAAAAAGCAGGCCGATGCTCTCCGAGCCGGTCTGTGTGAACGGACCCTAAAGCTCCTTTCTATAGCTAAGTCCAATTATAAGATGGTTGTCGATAACACTCACCTGAGATATTTTGGATGTCAAATATTTACTTTTATTAATTTAATAGTTATTTTAAAAAAGCAAATTATTGTTTACCTGAAGTATTCAAATGCTGTTGAGCTATCTTAAGAGCTAACAAATATTCTGGAGGTGCCTCCCATGTAACAGCATTTGTTTTTTGATTCCAGTAATAAGTGAAGCCACTGCTTTCATCATAACAGGCCGACCAGGCTGCAAGAAAATTTAATTTTAGTTTTCTTATAACAAAACTATAATATCATTTTAATACAATAAATCCATCCATTCATCCATTACAACCTATAAAAGTCCACTGCTGAACATAGGCCTCTCTCATAGATTGCTTCATAGAGGATTTTGCCTTTGTTGCCATGCTTGGCAAGTGGGTTGGGAACTGCAGTTTTTTATTATTTTAAGTTGTTATTAGGAGTATGCTACTGCCCATCTCCTGTTTCAGTTTCCCTCTGTTGTCTCTAACGACACCCAAGGGACAAAATGGGATAATGGATATTTTTACACTGCCCCTATACAATCTCAATGATTATCAACTCATAAAAAAAAGAAAAAAAAAAGATCCTGAGCCATCCGCATCCATCAACTTTCACCACCACTGCTACCACCACCACTGTGCCACCATGCATTGCTTACTGTTACAAGAGTGCCATTCAAGAACCATTCTACCTCAAAATTATTTAAATGTTCATAATAACCGCTTATAAATAATTAAATTATTATAAGCCAGTAATAATGATATATCTTTAAGAGCATCAATTATTATACATCAACATAACTGTTATTGCATCAAAAAAAAAAACATATCCATTCCACAACAGTTTGGCATAGTTAACGATAGCTACCTTTAATTTTTAAATACTCATTTTTGGTCCTATCTACAATAAAGTTAACTATGACTTTCTTATGAAAGTCCTTTTAAATACCTCAGTCCCACCCTTGACCATAAAGTGCCCGAAACACCAGTAATTAAAAAATAAGATCCATTGAGTTAGTTTTATTCCAGATTGGCATAACTTATTTATAGCAATAATGTATACATAAAAATTTAGATAGTGATTTTTTTTCCATCAGCCAAGAGCCACAAGACTGTTCAGGCATTTCTCTAAACAGCACATACATAATTAACACAATTTTCTAAGATATATTTGTTGCACCTCTATCATTTTATCCTTTGAAATTCCAATGATTGCCAATATTGGTGCAATAAATTGTTGATTTTAATGTTTTGATGTCACTTGTCTCTGACTCTGCCTACATTCCACTATATTATTTTCATGTGTTAATATATATTTTTTGTGGCATTCCTTAAGAGGCCTGTTTAGCAGTGGATTTGGAAGTCATACAGGTACGTTAGGATGAGTTAATACCTCCGTTTGTGCGCATACTTGCGACTCTTTAAGGAAACTGTCGCCGTGGTAAAAAATCAGACATTGTAATGCGTATTTAACTATATCTAATGCTAAATCATTAAATAGGCCGACATAATATAACATTTAATCAGTACTGAAAGCATAAAAGCATTAATAGAAAAAATAACAAATGCAAAAATACTTACGACAATGTGCTATGGGAGCCGGATGAATACCGGCAATGTTAGAAGTCTGGTCCAGTCCTGTAGCAGCTGGAACTTTATGAGTTTTCTTATCTGAGACACTATGTGTTGAGCTAGAGCGCATTACCGCATCATCTGAATCCTCATCAGAATCACCATAATTACCAATTAAACCAGCTAAAGGATTCGTTTTGCTCATCTTGAGACTTAAGAGATAGCAGTTATTTTTTTTAATTTCTACACGTACAGAGACAAAATAAGGGACTCAATTGCGAAATTATTAACATTGCAAAAGAGAAGTAATGAAACGACAATATATTTTAGCAACCATAACGCCTTGATTGGTGGTAGAAACCGTAGAATTGTTGTTGTTTTTATTATTCGCTCGAGAGAGCAGGCAAAGGAACTAAGCCATACAGCCTTATCTTTTTTATTTTGAATATATAGAATTTTAAAGTGTAAAGGCCGGAACCAAGTCTTATTTTTCTTGTTTCCATCTCTTCAAAATCCATAAAGGCCGTAGTCAAGTCTTATTTTCTTTAATTCTTCATATTTTCAAAAACCCGTAAAGGCTAAAGCCAAGTCTTCTTTATATTATACTCTTTGTAAGTTTCAATCCATGTAGATTTGTCAATCCAATATTTTCAAAAACAGGGATACCATATTTCATATTTCTTTTACAGTATTATGAATAAAATTGCAAAGTGCTAAATATGTCTTAGTATTCCTAAGAACATCTTGCAGGGCACGTAGGACGCTTTCTGAGTTTTCATAAACTTGTATAAGTTTTTCAATGAGTAGCAATCTTTCTATGGCGTACGCTGGGCAGTTAAATATTATATGTTCTGCAGTCTGATCTGCTTCTGTATCGCAGAAATTGCATGTTGCAGATGCTACTATTCTCATCCTGGAAAGATGAGCGTTCAGTCGATAGTGACCAAATCTAAGTCTGCACATTATTGTATAAAATTTTCTGCTATGATATCTTCGCATATCGTTGCGAGAAAACCAAGGAATACTTAATTCTGAATTAATTGATGCATACCAACGACCTTTTCCTGCCTCTAAAACAGCATTCCATTGCATTTTCCATTCTTCTTTAAACTCTTGCTTTAAAATTGAATATAAATCAGTATGTGGTATTGCACCATCGGTTATCCTGTCAATATCAGCTGTAACTATACTTTTAGCTAAATGGTCTGCTCTTTCATTTCCTTGAACCCCAATATGTGACGGACTCCATAAAAATTTTACTTCCAAATTATTTTCTTTCAATTTCCACCACAAACTTTTGATTTCATATATGATGAAAGACGTTTTAGCATCTAAAGCTCTTTTGCTTTCAGTGCCTTCAAGACACTCATGCTATCAGAGATCAGTAACCATTTATTAGATACATGTGGATGTTCTTCTATATATTTAAGAGCGATTAAGACAGCATAACATTCTGCAGTGTATATGCTTGCTAATGCAGGAATGAAAAGGCCACGTCCAGTTTTCAGATGAGGTATGTAAAATGCACAGGCTACTTTATTTTCAACTCTTGAACCATCTGTGTAAATTTGTATGATATTCATCATATGTAGATAAGTTCATAAACCTCTTCTTTTCTTTTCAATTTTTCATCAATATTTATGTGTAAATCACTGAATTTACTTTCATAATTCCCCTTATAACAAGGCCAAGTATGTGTGCTTTTGTGAATATTATATTGTTCATCATATCGTATCACTTCATGAAAGTCATGGAGTATATATGGGGCTGAGTTAGATATAGGAGACATACTATTATAGTAAAATAATACTTTTTGAAAAAGAGGATGATGAGACAAAGAATTAATATTTAATAAAAACCTAAATTTCAGATATTTAAAGCTAAGTAAGATAGGAGGAGTAAGACATTCAGTCTGTAAAGAAACAATAAGAGTTGTTCTCATAGAGCCGGTAATAAGTCTTAAATTCTTATTTTGTATAATTTCTAATTTGTTTACTAGTTTTTTATTTGATGCAAAACAAAGAAAGCCGTACTCAAAATGGCTCCTCACCAAAGACTTATATAACATTAATAATATTTCTGGATCAGCTCCCTAGTTAGTACTAGCCAAAGCTTTTAATACATTAAAGGCCTTAGAAGCTCTGTCTGAAATAGAATTCACGTATTTGGTCCAAGATAAATTATTTGTAAAAATTACACCTAAGTATTTTGCACAACTTTCTATTAATAACAATGTATTATTATAAATTATTCTAGTGTTAAATGGACGAATTTTATTAAATATTACGACTTAACTTTTCTCAGTACTAATATCTAAATTTAAGTATGAAAAGTAAATGTGCAATTTCTTTAAAGCCTCATTTAAAGTGGTTACCAAGTTTTTGACATTTGTTCCCGAGGCATATATGACCAAATCATCTGCATATTGTAAATTAGTTACATTTGATCCTAAAATATTGTTTAATTTAAATATGTATAAAATAAAGATAAGAGTACTTAATATTCCTCCTTGACAAACACCTTTATAACTGAGCCTAGGACCAATAATTGTATTATTATTATTAACTTTATCAAAAACTCTTCTGTCATGTAAAAATTTAAATATCCATTATACAATTTTTTCAGGAATGGCCAAAGACCTCAACTCTGCGGCGAGTACATGAAGATTAACGTTATGCACCAACAATGTCAAAGAATATACTAATTAATACTTCTTTATTTTCCATAGCTTTAAAGATGTCTAAATGTAGAAAGGCAATACTTTCTCTAGATGACTTACGGCGTCTGAATCCAAACTGATTTGATGGTAAAAGACAATTTTTTTCTAGAGAAAATTCTAATCTAGATTTTATAAGTTGCTCAAATATTTTACCCATACAAGATGTGCTATAGGTCTATAAGATTCTGCAATGTGAGGTTTTTTTGCAGGATTTAAAATGGGTATGAAACAATCTTTCCAATCGTTAGGAATAAGTGAATGAAACCATAACATATTATATATTTTCAAAACTAGTTCTCTACACGCAGTATTCATATTTTTTAAAGCTTTATATGGAACAGAATCTAAACCACAAGTAGTGTCTTTTCTAGAGTTAACAGCTGAATTTAATTCGGTCAAGGTAAAAGGTTTGGTAAGATAATCACAATGATTATCATTTGAGGAGTGAGGGGTTAGAGGTGTTTCATCTGTTTTTGGAGTATATTTTGATTTCTTATATTTACGCGAACACTACACATTTTAAATAAAACTAATTTTACGGATTTTATCGCGTATATTAATCTACTTTTATATTCCCGACGTTTCGGGTGCTTTCCAGCACCCGTGGTCACGGGGGACTGAGGTGTTTGACGTCCTGCTGTCATAATTAGCCCGGCTACCTTCAGTTTTTTAATATTAATTTTTGGTCCGATTTACGCAGAATGAGCTTACAGTATCTTGAAGTCTAGCAGTGGTATACTTGGGTTTGGATTTGATTTTATTAATTATGGGATCCCAAGCAGATGGCAGCACCCATCCATCTTCTCTATTGAAATTAGGATGTTTTTTAATTTCAATAGCCTCGCGAATCATCCTTGGGAGGAATCGGTGTTGTTTTGCGAGGATTTGTGGTCTATCAAATCTAATGTAATGGCGGGGACGATCTTGAACATGTTCACAAACTGCAGACTTCCCGATACGTCGGTGCTTCACGTCAGCTATATGTTCTTTAACGCGGGTTTTAATAGATCTTTTTGTTTGTCCTATGTATGTATGACCGAGTGAAGCCAGCCACAGTCGAGCGTGTGCCTGCTGTACTACCCTATGTCAGAGGAGTCACAGACAAGGTTGGCTACATCTTGAAGCGAGCTTCCATTAAAACATACTTCAAGCCGCTGAAGAAGATTGGTCAATTTTTACCATCCGTCAAGTGTCATATCCCTCTACAAGATGCAGGAGTGTACAAGCTGGATTGTGAATGTGGTCTCTCGTACATAGGACAAACAAAAAGATCTATTAAAACCCGCGTTAAAGAACATATAGCTGACGTGAAGCACCGACGTATCGGGAAGTCTGCAGTTTGTGAACATGTTCAAGATCGTCCCCGCCATTACATTAGATTTGATAGACCACAAATCCTCGCAAAACAACACCGATTCCTCCCAAGGATGATTCCCGAGGCTATTGAAATTAAAAAAAACATCCTAATTTCAATAGAGAAGATGGATGGGTGCTGCCATCTGCTTGGGATCCCAAAATTAATAAAATCAAATCCAAACCCAAGTATACCACTGCTAGACTTCAAGATACTGTAAGCTCATTTTGCGTAAATCGGACCAAAAATTAATATTAAAAACTGAAGGTAGCCGGGCTAACTATGACAGCAGGACGTCAAACACCTCAGTCCCCCGTGACCACGGGTGCTGGAAAGCACCCGAAACGTCGGGAATATAAAAGTAGATTAATATACGCGATAAAATCCGTAAAATTAATTTTATTTAAAAAGGAGTATATTTTTTCAAAAATTCATTAGCCCAATTAGAATCTATGACAGATGTGTTATTATGAACAAAAGTTTTGTTAAACTTTTTAATGTAATTCCATACTCTAGTCAATGGAGTAGATCTATTAAAAGTTTCACATAGTTTTTTCCAGCTAAGCTGTCTTTCAGTCTTCAAAGTAATTTTTTTAACAGCTTGTAGTCTTTTAAAATAAATATAATTTCGTTCTGTGGGATCATTCTTAAATACTAAATATGCATTTTTTACAATTTAATACTGCCTCTTTGCATTTTAAATTCCACCAAGGTAGAGAATTCTTTTTTTAATTCTTTTAAAAGATTGCAAGTTGATGTTAACATTTCGATTAGAAGACTGATTGGATGGTGTGGATTCATGCATGGCTTGTTTAATTAATTCTATTAAGTCTGTATAACATTGTAAAGGATTACTATAATCAAAACTATAATTTTTAATTAAATTATCTATTAAATTTGGATATTTTGACCAATCTACCAATTTTAAATTTATGTTATTTGATACAGCTGTTTCTTGAAAATTTTGATTATTGACCGTAATTTTTTGTCTTTACAGGAAAATGATAGCTGCCTAGAGAATCATCATCACATACTTGCCACTCACAAGACAGAGCCAGTGAAGATGAAACAAGTGTTAAGTCTAATGCGTTCTGCCTCCATCTATGAGATCCTACTGTAGTCATCTGACCAT